TTTTTCTAATATTTTTCATAATATTGACAACCATGTGGGCAAAATTAATTCTAACAGAAACAGAATAAATTAATAAGTAAATTAACTATGGTACCATAAGGTAATAATATGTGAGATAATAGTTTATTATTGAGAAAAAATAATGAATTGCACAATTTCGAAAAAAACTATTTAAGAATTAAGAAAAACAGATATTTCCCATAGCTTTGGGGACATTATTATTTGGTTTTCTTGTTTAGCTGAACACAAAAAAAAAAAAAAAAGGATTGGCTAGTTCAAAAGTCGTTCTTGTTTACAAAGGGGAACAAAAAGATGTCTTCTGAAAATAACATTAACAGAAGTGAAGTCGATTCTGATACAGGTGTAAATGTTACTTGAAAAGATAAATTTAAAATGCCAATTAAAATGAAGTATGTTGAATTTTATAGCGATATAAGAATAAAATAAATATAACTTTTGTGCAGAAACAGGTGGATCACCTATCTACATGTGAAGAGTATATCATTTAAATATGAGCTAAAATTAAACGCAAAATCAAAAAGGTGCTATAAAACTACAATCCATAGCTTTCATTAAAAAATATTAAAGATTTAAAAGGAATAAAATTAATAGAAATGTCAATTTTTAAGCACTAATTTCCAAAAATATATTAAAATAATTGATAAAAGCGTGCTCAATAACAACTGGAAAAACAACTGAAAACAGAAACGGAATCTTTTATGATTGTTGTAAATAAAACTGCTCTAAACAGATCATGATTCTATTAATGATTGAGAATCCCAGTCATAAAAATACTCTAATAAGAAAAATATGGTGGCATCTGAAGAACAAATACAGTGCAATCTCATTAATCCGAACTAATTGTTGCAGAGAGAGCTGAGATCGCTGAAAAAATAGGGGAAATATTTACAATAAAAGATTAAAATTAAATAAATACTAAAACTTTATTAACTGGAAACAAAATTGCAAACTCATTTGAAACATTGAACATATCAAAAAGAATTTTTTTTTCTTTTCTGTTTTATTAAAGAATTAAGTAAATTTAAATATGCACTGTGCCGACTGGTAAATGTTCGAAGGATGGACCGAAATGATGATGGGAAGATTGCGTTAGGGCTGATCTAGTGGGGGTGAGTTTGGAAGGTAGTTGATGGAGGAAAGTAGCAATTTAGCAATTAATGTCGAACCATCAGGTTTGCTAAGCCATTTATTATCATTATTATTTTTAAGTAAATTTAGTTTGCTTTGACTTTTGGAGGTCCTCACCCCATTTGTTGTTCTCTAAAGTGCTGTATGAGGTTTTGTGAAAGTTCATAAAATAAGTACTAACATCACTGATGAGCATTGGAAATACATCTGATCGTTCCTAAATTCATAACAATGGGCAAGTTTCTAAACTCAGCACTAAGATCACTGATGGGCATTGGAAAACCATCAATGGATTGGCACTGAGTTTAGGAATTTGCCCTTTGTTGCAACATAGTGTTTGTTTCTATTTCTCACTGAATAACGTGAATGAAACTAGACACTCTAATTAAAACAAAATGTGAAGAATAAAAAAAAAAGCATGCTATTTTTCAGATAAATTATTTAGGATCACAATAGTAAGCTTATATATAGGCAGAAAGATTTTTTTTAAAACATGCATATCACAGTACCTGAGCATAATTTCTCCAAGCACAATAATTCCAACTGAAAAATGTCTCCATCTTGATACGGCTATAAAAAAAAAAATTAATATATTAAACTTTGAAGTAATTATAGAGTAATACTACGCTGGATAAAAAAATTCAAGGATACAATATCATAATAATTAGAAAAGTATATGTTGAAGTTTATTTTATTTTATTTTTTTTTTTTTTTTTTTTTATTAAGTCAACTTAAATTAAAACTCTTTTTTTACAACAAAATAATTATTAAGGTGTCCATAGCTCTGTGAACCTCTTGCTACCAACGTTTGATTATTGATGTCTATTGAGGTAACATATTCTTTTTAGGATTAATTTTAATTTTTAAAAAATACTTTCATGTTGAATTCCATTGGCTATACATAGAAATCAACTGAATTATAATTTATATATTTAGCTGAAATAAAATTTATACAAAAACACTTTCTCTTTGCGTCTGAAGGACTAAATTAAAATATTGTAACATATAAATAAATATAAATTTTATAGATTAGATTCAATAAAAATATATTATGAATTTAAAATTGAGTAACTGACCTACATAAATTCATATCATTAATGTAGAAATTATATATAAAATAAAAAACAAGCACTATTAACACAGATCAAATCACTTCTTAAAGAATATCGGACAGTGACGCGAGAGTAACTGACTGATTTCTTTAGGATACATCTACAGTTACCATAATTTAATTAAGCGCCATCTTAGCTCCCGGATGCAGGCCTAATGTAATAATCTACAGAATTACGGAAAAACAGAATAGGTCTAATTTTGTTACCAATGCGAGATATTTCATTTCAATTGAAAAACTTTTTTTTTTTTTAACACAATCGACTTCTTTTCAAAAACATCTTAAAATACTATGAACAAAGATGAGATTTGAGAACTTAAAACTTATCAGATTTTTCCCAAAATAATCCATGAATACTAATAATACATTTAATAAGTTTAAAACTAATTATTACATTAAAATTACCATTACAATGCATTCGATGACGTTATAAAACTTGATTCAACACAGATGGATCTAATTTTTAAATTTTTCGTTTCATTATGAGCTCGTTTAATAAATAAAATTAACATCACTGAAACACTAACACTAAACAACACATATAAATATTTCACTTGCAAAAGATTCCCGAACGCGAACATTCACAAAAGTTAGAACCAACATTCAACCGATTAAAAGTGCGTAGCCATTAAAACAAGCAAAAACCGGAACTACTTTGAAGTGACCAGTTTAATTACATTTTCACAATTACTTAATTATAATTGTATTTAATGTTAGAAAAAAATATATAAATATATATATAAACATAATTTTTTAATGCTAAAAATGGATAGTGTAATTTAATTCTAATGTATTAGAAGTAAATCTACAACTGATTTTAGACAAATATTTAAAAATCAAGTATATTATATTTAAAACTTATCTTATCATATAAATATTTTCAAAAATATATTGGTTGATAAAAATATATTTTTTACTATCAATAAATTTATTAGAAATAAAAAATATCTATATTATATATTATTGTGATATGGATATAAATACAAAAGCATATATTCCAAACAATTAAATAATTATATTTTTAAATGTCATGAAGATAATAATACTTCATCAACAATTTGGAAAATATTTAACGATATTGATAGTTCAATGTGTAATTGAAGAAGTTGGGATTTCGAGCCATGAATGCCGCGGTTTTGAGAACCTGGCTTTTACGGCGGGAGATAAAAGTTTTGACAAAAATCCATTATATAAAGGTAAAAACAAATCTTTTAAACTTTGTAACTTTTATTATGTAAATAAGTTCTTTGAATTTCGACCTTTTTATTGATTCATAGCAGAAATGTTAACAATTAGGAATTATTTGTTTATTTTTAGGTCTCAGTAATCAATTTTTGAACTAACAGAGCAAGTTTTTCCTCAGAGATAGACTTAACATGGAAAAATCGTGGGAGTTTCAAAGGATAATGCTGATCAGTTATATACTGTTGTTAATAATCAAGGTATTTTGAACAAAACCCATATTTTCTGTTAAGCAGACTCTAAAATAATCAGTTACATTTGTTTTAATATATTTTTTTTTTTTATTATTTTGTTGAAGAAGTTGAATTCTGAATAAGTATTAATCTATAATTTGCCAATATGTTGACTTATTAATAATAATTTTTAACTTGAAAGACTTGAAGCTTTTGACTTAAAATCTTTCAAAAATAAACGAATGCTACTAATTGTAGCCTCTATTTGGAGTTTTAAACCCTTTTTATTTATTTAGAAAATTGTCTAATTGAATTAACTAGTTTGTAATTTTTCAATTGTTTCCTTTAATATTATTAAAATACATTTTATTTTATTATTTCCTTTCCTACTCTTTCACTTCAATTTGTCCACTTAAATCATATTTTAACTTTAATATGTGATGGTAAATAAATTTAGAAAACCGCTCTGTTCCATTCATTTGTCTTAGTCTTAGTTTATCATTCTAGCTAATGATAATCTTTTAAAGTACTAGCGGATCTAGAATTTAATTTGGGGGCTTCAGCTCGAAGCTTTTTTTTTCGTATATATAACGATGATTACTTTGGAAAAAGAAGGAAGAAGATATTAACTACCTATTTTAGTGTTACAGTGATTTTTGAATTCCTATTAAATGTAATTACATAAACAATAATTCTTTAAGAGATAATTTTTGTATATTTTTTTCCATAAAACATGGTTACATTTAGCCATTTTGGGAGGGACTTCAGCCCGAAGGCCCCTCCCCCTCTCCCTTCCGTAGATCCGCCTGTGTTTTATACGAAAATAAATTAATTTTAAGGCATCCACCTCCTCCCATACATAGTTTCTTCACCTCCCACGAAAACTGATTGTACTCTACTTTAAAAAGGAGCAAACATAAATAATATCATAAAAATTGTACTTTAATTTTCATCTTGTTTATTGGTTTGAAAATTATCCTCTCTTAAAATACCATAAAAATATGACTTTCCAAAAATCACAGTACCGTAAATATGTGTCCACCAACCCCCTTTTGGGCAATTCCGAATTAGTTAGAAATAATTCATATTTATTTATTTTATCTCATTCCATATATACCCAAGTGGGTCATTAGCGGTCCAAATAATTTGTAAAACATTATAGATTATTAAATATTACGTATTTCTGAGTCTGTTCCTATCACAAATTATAATTTTTCAATTTATTTATTATTATTCTATTGTTATTTAAAAACTATTATAAATATTAATTAATTGATGTTACATATACTTATATATATATATATATATATTTAACCAAAACAACACTGTTAGGAAGGTAATGACTGTTATGTTTGACACGTGAAATTTAAAGACTAGCTCTAATTCAAATCAAAAATTTAGAATTATTGTTTACCATTTTATCTTTTTTACAAAACATCAATATTATAATTAATATACTTTATAATAATATGAAAAATGTCGACTTCAATTCAATCTGTTGTCGATAAAACTAATCAAAAGGTAACGTTAACGTTAATTTAGGTGATAACATTTTTTGAAACTTGTGGTAAAAATATGTGTTTGCTTTATATTTGCGCTTTGCTCTCTAATTATAAATAATCTCTTCTTTGTATTGGACTTCATTTTATTTTTGTGCAAGATGTTTCCTAAAATAGAATGCACTATTGGGAATTTCAGATTATTTTTAAATATTCTGAATTTTCTTTGTATTTTTTATCTTCATCTTATTAATGTTTCTTTTTTAATCTGTTATTCAACTTATTTTTTATTTTAAAGAATAATGTTTACCCTTCAGGACCGATATTTATTACTATGTTTTAATATTTTTAATTGAATACTGTTTCCTCATAATCATATCTTTGCTTTAATTGTATTGGTGCATGCAAAATATGTTGATTTCAAATAACTACTTTTTCAATTAACTTGTAATTATGAACTCCATTTTTAAATTTAAATTTAAAATAGATATGGTTAATGAATACAGTCTTCATTTGTACTCTACAAACTATTTAATATGTTTGATTTCATAATGAGTAGTTTGACAATAAATAAAATTGAATCATATCAAAGGTTTTCCCAACACTGTATATAACGAGATGGTACTTGAATATTTTTTCAATATTCTTTTATCACTACGGAGTGACATGAGCCTTAATCTTACCTATAGTGCCATTTATTTCTAAGATTTTTATTAAACAGGCTGAATCTTTGATAATTGTGTTATCCTATAATTTCTTTTTTCAACTAATTATTATTGTTATTTACGAAAGTTTTAATAATTTTTTTATGTTTTTTTTCAGGAACAGATATTAGCAGATCTGTTATCTAGGGTTAAATTGTTGAATGAAAAAAGTTATTCCACTTTTATGTCAACCTATGAGTCAAAATCTCAAGTTGTCAATGATTTAATTGTAAAAAATAAGAAGTTAAAATATAGGATGGGTATTCTGAAGAATGTGAGTAATTTCTAAATTTAAACACTTATGAATTTAATTTAACTTATAACTTTAGAGATGTTATTTAACATTTTGTTGTGATGTACCATTCCTTCATAATATATAGGTGCTTAAATATTCTAATTTCTTTTAAATATTGTATGATTTGATTATAAATTTTTTTGTTTTCCAATTAATGAACTTAGATAACCCACCAAAACCTTACTATCTTCATCCTTCTAGATGTTTCCAAAATGTTTGACACTATTGGCCATAACATCTCCCTTACTAAATTACATATCTTTCTCTATCCAACAGTGCCCTGTATTGGTTCAAATCCTTCCTCTCAAATCGGTCCCAGGTCAACCTCCATCTAAAACCACTTCTGTGGTGTCCCTCTAGGATCTTCTCTATTTCCTACTCTGTTTGCTATTTAGATTAATGATCTTCTGATCCATCACTCCCAATATCACATCTATGCAGACGATTTCCAAATATATATCAAGTTCTCGTTTTCTGACCTATTATCAGCCACAGAAAAACTTCAAGAAGACTTAGGATTTGTGACTGGGCAAGAGATAACAAGTTGAATGCGGAGAAAATTAAGGCATACTTAATAGGCTCTAATCACCTCCTAAAAACTGATCCTAATATCCCAATCCAGTTCCTACATCATAATCTCATCATATTTTAACCTACCATCAAAAACCTCTTTGATCAAACTCATTTCTGGAAAAACCATTTATCCAATATCTCCTACCTTTTACACCTTAAAACACCTAAATTACCTCGATCATCTATTTCCATTTGAAACCGATAGGCTCCTTTCCTTCCTTATTATTTCCCCACTTTGACTATTGCTTAGGAGGCATCTCTGAAGATCTCTATCATAAAATTTATTTTTTTGTATTTTTAAGTACAGTCTATAAGCTAATTAATATCGTCTATGAGTAGTTTTAATTGACCATTACTACGTTGATAAATTTGAAAATTTTTTGTTATTACCAGATTTTCATGTTTTTTAAAATGCTCTGAAATTTAGATTTAATAACTTTTTTTTTTTCCAATTTATCAGTTAGATGTACTTTGTAATTTAATTTTTTAACTCAACTTTTAAGGCCATTGAAGAACAGAAACAGCAAAGCAAAAAGAGGAAACTAAATCAAAATGGTTCTTGGAATTTTGGAGGTTTGCAAGCTATATTGACTGATATTTGCACAATGGGTCTACAAAAGGCTTTTCCTGATATTACTGACTTATATCAGACTGTGCAAGTCGCTGGGAACCCCAAATTTGGTGATTATCAGTACAATGCTGCTCATCAGGTTGTTAAAATTCTGAAAGATAGAGGTGAGTTCATTTTTTTTTTTTTTTTTTAAGTCATTGTTAATAGCTCTCTGTTAAGTGAACCAAACAAGTAATTTTTTTTCCAAGATCCTTCAACTTTATTAAAGTTCTACCTGAATATAAATGGATTATAAAATGGTATATTTATTTTCATTTTTATAAATTAAGTCCATATTCCACCACCATTTTATTTATTTATTATTTTATCTTGACAACGTTTCGGCCAACACTAGGGGCATTTCCAAGTCTTAATTGAGTCCTCCAACTAAATCTCCATGTTCAGTATCATTTTCTTTATTCTGAGAACAATTAAAACTGTCCTAATATTTTAGGGTATCTGCTTCGTCGTCTCTAGAAGAAATTTTGCAAACCAATTTTGACAGGTGTGCTCAGTTAAGGTATCATCCCCATAAGCTCTGCAAATTTTTCTATGAGCTTCTGCAGCACGCTTACCTTTTTTTAAATAATACAACAAAATATGTCAATAATGAATGATATTTTCGGTACTAGTTCACAAGAGTTCCACACGGATTACGCGTGGTTCACAATCACTTCGATCACACTTGTTCATGGAATCCCGAAAACAGCCAAATGTTGTCGTCTTTTATGACGTCAGCTATTGTTCCTCTTAATGCATTTTTGAAAGAAATAAAAACGTATTCCCTTCGTGGAACTTCCTTATTAAAAATGTATTAACAAATTGTGTATTTACTAATTAGTTAACTATTAATTTGCATTATAACGGTCATTACTGTGAAAGAAAAATCTTCAAGGCCTGTAAAAAAAAAGCTTTTAGAAATAAAATTTTTATTGACACGTGCTTACATGTAGTGGCTATAAATATATACTGTTGTATATTATCTATTATAAATTGTATAAAAGAGTTTTTTATCATTTGGATAATAAATAATCCGAATGGCGATTATTGTAGTCATTCGTAAAATAAAAAAATCGTGTTTATTTTCGAGCAAGGAATTAACGTATTGAGGAAAGAACTGAAGAAGAATATCTGATAATTCCAAGATAATGAATAATGGAAATCATAAATAAGAAAAATATTGTGAAATAGCATTCAGAGATGTAATAATTAAATGTTTTTATCTATTAATATTCCTTTTTCATATATATATAATATATGTGCATGTTCGATTCAGGTTTCATAATGTGTAGTCTAAATTTCGAATTAAGTCAATACTTTCAATAACGTTAATATAACTGAACATGGTTAAGGTACTTAAATGGCGGGAAAGTTAATCGTAACAAATTCAAGAGATCGGTCGCCTTCGTTCTCTGTCGGATAAACCCGAAGGCATTCGGGATTCCATGAACAAGTGTGACCGAAGTGATTGTGAACCATGCGTAATCCGTGTGGAACTGTTGTGAACTAGTACCATATTTTCTTCCATATTCACAATGCAATAGTTAATACAATAGTAAGCTAGTTTCAACAAAAGTTTACAGATACAGTTGTTGACATATAACAAACAGGATAAACAATCCACCCTAGGGATTAATTTATCAGATAAGAAGTGTATCATAGTGACATAAAAAGTGCCCACCTAATATTTAGGCCTATATTAGAGGTCAACTTATATTTATTTTCTACTATATGGCAAGGAAAGTAGAGTGCTACATATGATATATAACTGTTTGAAAATAATAAACCATTGTATAATAATTTGTAGCGTTTTTATATTAACTTTTTACTCATTTTTGTAGATATTAAAGACAATTTTTGAATCGGTGATACACCTAGACATTCTATTTTAAACAGAAGCACTTCATGATATGCATGGCGGATATCTATCTCATTAATTGTTCAAATTATTATTTGTCTGTTTGATAAGTTTACATTGCTTTTTTTCTCTACATTACTTTTGTATAAAATTCCAAATCCTTTACAGGTGTAAAGATGTCACCTGTCCAAGCTGCTAAGGAAATAGCTAATGCCATAGAAAAAACTTCACTGCTCGAAAAAATTGAGGTTGTTCCTGCTGGATTTATTAATTTATGGCTCAAAAAAGAGTATTGCCAAAATGTTGTAACTCGGCAAATTGTAGAAGGCATCCTTCCTCCTCCATTAGATAAACGGTTGAGAGTTTTAGTGGATTTTTCTTCCCCAAATATTGCAAAGCAGATGCATGTTGGTCATCTTAGGTGGGTAAAAATTAGATATAATCAAAGCTTGGTATGATTATTGTTTTAAATTTTGGTTTTTGAGTATATATTATTACATAGAGGAAATATTATAAAAGATAATTTCTTCACATTGTCTGTGTCTAAAAATTACTATAATAGAATTCTGGATTTCTCGCTAACTTACTCTTGTTTTGTTTAACTTCCTGTGTGACACAATCATATTGGAAAGTATCAGATGATATTTGATCCTTTGATGTTCATAATATTTTTGTTTGGCTCTAACCATTCAGCAATTCTAGTCTACATGGAGTACTGTGGACTGGGGTTACATTGGCACAACTAAGTTTAAGTCTTGAATCAAATGTGCTGAATATCATTCATTTTATTGTATTTTGTATAATAAATGTTTTTCCATTTATATTTTAATAAAAAAAAAAAAAATTCTTCTAGTTTCTGAATGCATTGATATTTTCAGTGATTTTCTCATCACTCTGACAGATATAATAAAAAAACAAAAGAAAAGAGAGTTATGCAGGACCATTTTAATATATTTCAACTGTTAAGAATTAGAATTAGAAATATTAAGGTTATGTTAGGTTAAATAAATTAGAAATATTGAGTTTTTTTCATTTTTTTATAGGTCAACAATTATAGGAGAAAGTATTGCTAGACTTTTTGAATTTCTCGGCCATGATGTTTTGCGAATAAATCATGTCGGAGATTGGGGAACCCAATTTGGAATGCTGATAGCTCATTTAGAGGTAGCTATTAAATTATCTATAAAAAAAAATAATGATCTTTGTTGTTTATTTGGTTCCATTTTTAGTTAATGTTTTTATCTTTTAGGACAAATTTCCGGATTACCTCACAGTTTCGCCTCCAATCGCTGATCTTCAAGCCTTTTATAAAGAATCAAAAATAAGATTCGATTCTGACCCAGACTTTAAAGCGCGAGCATATAACTGTGTTGTAAATCTTCAAAAAGGAGATGAAAACTACACTAAAGCTTGGAAAATGATTTGTGATGTTTCCCGAAAAGGTTTTGTTCAATTTTCAGGAATTTATTTAGTAACTAGAGAGTTTTATGGAACACCCCAATTTTTTAGCGCATTCATTAATTTAAGAACAGTGATGTTTTTTGTTTTTCTGTGAAAGTCTATTTTAAAATTAATCTTTCCTTATTTGATAGAGAACTGTATTGATTCAAAACCATCATTTTTCTTATCTCATTTTCTTTTTATATTGAAGAGAAGAATGGTTGGGGGTGATCAGTAAAAAAAAAAATAGTAAAAATAAATAAAGACTAAAAGAAAATAAAGACAGACGTTGTTATGGTTTGATATTGGTTGGTTGTTCTTACCATACCGTTTTTCTTGCGACAACCCTTTGTTTGACCAGCTCTGATGAAGGCCTGAACTTTGGACAGAAATGTCGGCAAAAATAATAATAAATTTAATTATTTATTTTTACTGATCATCCTAACCATTTTTCTCTTCAATTATTCACTACAATCAACCATCAATCCACAATTCTTTTTATCAATCCACATTATAATATATGATATTAATTTCTTTCAGATTTCCAACAAATCTATGACAAACTCGATATATCATTAATTGAAAGAGGTGAATCTTTTTATCACAGTCGAATGAATAAGATTGTTGAAGAATTGAAAAATAAAGGTAAATATCCGTTTGTAATGATGAATTATTTCTGTGCATTTGCAAATACTTTACATTATGATTTAATATAATAGTTTGGTTTCATTTTATTCTAGTAATAGTTTCTCACAGTTTGAATATAAAATTTATTGAAATATCTTAAGATTTCTCAATAATTTTTCTATACTATATCAGACACTGTAAACGTTTTGAGAAAACCATTATAACATAAATGCTTTAACGATTTTTATTCTTTATTTATAATAATAATAATAATAAGTTTATTTAAATGAGTTTACAATTTACAAAATGGGATCATGTTTCGGTGATTAACCATTTCACAGTAATCTTTTATGTAAAAAATAGTTAAATATAAAATGGGAAAGAATTTGAGAATTAACTAAAGGAGAAATAAGAGATCATAACTGATAATAGTTGTAATAGAGGAATCAAAGGAATACGAGCGCGCCCGAAAGATTACAGCAGGCTTCCATAAGTATCATGAACTTAATATAATACGGACTCCGACAATATTATGTACATATACATATGTGGTTTTCATGAATGCTAGAGTTTGTATCATTTAATATTTAATTGTATAGAATACAGCAATATAAAGATTAAAATTGTGGTATAAATAAGGGGTCTGTGATCTTGGTTTATTGTGTTCTTTGGATTTGGTTTTGGGTTAGGTTATATGTTTGAGTAAGGAGTGTTGGGGGTGTGGGGGTGAAGGCAAGGGGGACGGGTAATGCGAGGCGTATGAGGCAGATTGTTGTGGAGTGGTTGGGTATGGATGGGGGTGGGGAAGTATAGCTTGGGGGCGACATCGGGGGGGGGTTGTGGATAGCGCTTTTACGGGGGTTGGGGAATCTGTGTGTGCGGTATCTAGTTTTGGTTGATTTGGTGTGGTAGTGTTGAGTGGGGGTGGTTGGTTGGGTTGATCACCGGTGGTTGGGTAGGGGGGAGTGGGGGGGGAGAAGATTGAGGTTAGGGGTAGGAGGGTTTTGGGTGTTTTTTGGTGGAAGTTAGGGGTTTTGGGGTGTCAGGGTTGGTGGTTGGTAGATTGGTGGTGTATTGGGGGGTAGATAGAGTGAGTATTTGGTGAGAGAGTGGGTGCGTAGAGTGTGGGGTTAGATTGGATCAGACAGCGAAAGTGGGGGTGGTGTGTGTTGATAATTCGTGACTGGGGCATATAACATTACTGTTATTTTATGGAGAAGTATAGCTTAGGTGGTGGGCCAAAAAAAATATTAATAATATTTGATGTTGTTTGTTGTTGGTGATGGTGCCAAACCTGTGGGGGGGAAGATGTAGTATAAAGGTATGAAAATTCGATATGTTGAGTTAATTGTTTGTATTAGTTTTAACTTGGGTGAACCATTTGGGGGTGGTGGAGATAGGGTTTAATTGGGAGATTTTAGACGAAGTGTAGGGGTTAGTTTAGTTGGGTTTGGCGGGTGGGGGGGGGAAGAAGTTGTCGGGGATTATTGCATGGCCAATAGTTAAGTCCGATGGTGGGTATACCTATGACACATCTGATATGGCGTGCATTAAACAAAGGATTCATGAAGAAAAATCAGATTGGGTGATTTACGTCGTTGATGCAGGACAGGTACGTTAAGCTATCAACAATATACCCAGTCCTGTCATTAATATTGTTACAAGAAAATATATACATATAGGAAATATAAAAACTTTATTAGAAAATAAAATTTATATATAGAGAGAGTAAAAAAAAAAAAATTACTGAAATGTCTCCCTTTTGCCTTGACAATGGCATTTAATCTCCGTGGCCACTCATCTCATCAATTGCCACATGCAGCTCTTCTTGTGGAAAGCCCTAAACTGCTTGGACCACTGATTGTTTGAGGCTTTCCAAGTTAGGGTTTGCTCTGTGGCATGCCATCCTCTCCAGTTCGGACCAAAGCCGATAATCTAGTGGGTTGAGATCACGGCTTTCTGAAGACCGATCCAAGGCAGAGATGAACTCTGGAATGTTCTTTTGCAGCCACTACTGAGGTGTCCTGGCCTTGTGAGCACAAACAGAGTTTCTTTCAGAGGCTTGACAAAAGGTTCCAAAATATCGTCCTGAGTTTTTAGCGGCTGTTTTGATTCCATTTCCACATAAATGGAGCTTTGTGGTGCCATCTAAGCAAACCATCACTGAGGAAGGTGATGACCTCTTTCCAATCTTGCAATGGCTTCCTGGGCTTCTTTAGAGCTTAGTGCGTACACACGATCATTTTGGCGATTAAATTTTTCTTCAAATGTAAAAATTGTCTTTAAAAAAAAAAGTCTTTCGATGAAGACCATTGGTGTAACGGCCAAGGAGCACTTTGCATCTATCCACTCTAGTATTTTTTAGTAAAGTGGTTAGCCTTTGTCCTGTCATTCTTCGAAATGCACCCATCCTAAGGTCACTATTTAGTATGCGAGACATTGATCTGACAGAGATTCCCATTTCCCGAGACATGATTTGTTGTTTTTTAACGGGATTTCTTCTGATTCAAGCAGTCACTGCTCTCACTGCATTTGCTGTTCTCATAGTGTGGGGACGGTCGAGGTCTGTCAGATACAGACAGGGTCTCATTATATATATTTATAGTGCGTTACACGATAAATATTGATACCTAAAGGTTTCAAAGTGTTGAAAATCTCTGACCTACATTTTCCAACTTTGTGTAAGGCTATCACAGCTATTTCTTTTGTTCTTTATCACCCTTCTCCTTGTTAACTGAGCGAAAGAAAAATTCAAACTAATTGGAATTGTTATCCTGATATGTAAAGAAAATAACCTGATAAAAATAAGGATTATCTAAATAATACCCAAGGATGTAAACAAAGTTCAATGTTTGTAACAGTATTTATGGCAGAGCTAGGTATTTACTTTTAATGATATATATATATATATATATATATATATATATATATATATATAATTGTTGACTATATTTTCGGCTTCTGGTTTTTAGGCGACACACTTCAAGATCCTTTTCAGTTGTGCCCAACGAGCAGGAATATGGGATCCTAAGAAAGTTAGGCTTGATTTTGTAGCCTTTGGTGTCGTCCTCGGGGAAGACAAGAAGAAATTTAAAACTCGTTCTGGAGAAACAGTACGTCTTAGTGATCTCCTTGAAGAAGGTACTTGATTTATTTTAACAGTTTGGTTCATTGAATTCTTAATTGTGCTTATGTTTATGATTACTTATTTATTTGAAATATTATCTTAGGTGTACAGCGGGCTGAAGCTGCTCTGAAAGAGAGGAATAGAGACGCAGTTCTCACAGAAGAAGAATTCAATAAAGCGAAAACAGCTGTTGCTTATGGGTGTATTAAGTATGCAGATCTTAGTAAAAACCGAATTAATGATTATGTGTTTTCATTTGATAAGGTTAGTGTTGTTTTGTTATTTTAAATTTATATCTATTCGCCGGAGGTAAAGAACACCATGTCAAATTTTGTATTTGTTCGGATTTTCCATAACTTTGAGCTATTAATATTAGTTCATTAGTTACTATATCATTTAATTAAAAAATGGACATGGTGTAATTTACCTCCGGGGCACATTATTAAAGCATTTAAATTTTGAGTTGGCAGATATCTTTGGTTTTTTCCCAAAAATAATAAACCATTGAATTGTATCATAGTTAATCAGAGGAGGACCCAATTTATATCAAATTCAGGGCGAGATCACAATAATGAGGACATCAACGGTGTCTGACATATTTATTCCCCTCCTTCATTATATTTTGACATTATCAGAAGAGACCTTATAATCAAATGAGTTGAAATTTGATAATTTCTAGGTAGAACAATAGCATAGAATTAGGTGTAAATTAAGTCAAAATATCGGTATTTTCAAACAATTTTTAAGTTTTGTAGTCTCCATAGCCTCTCCAAATTAGAGGGTTGAAAATTGGTATTTCAAAAGGGTTGGTGTCACAGAAGTGTCTTTGGTGGATTTCAACATTCTTTTTTCTCCCAGATCCACCATTTAAATAAATGAACTTTGGATACAAATTATAAAATATTCAAAATCAAAACATGAGATATATATTGAACCGTTTAATTATTTAAAAATTCTATAGAATTTTCTCACTTATGCACCTAACTGGACACCATTGTGGATGGAAATTTTGTCTGCTTATGAGGATTATGAAGTATGAAAGGTATAAAAATGGAAAAAAAAGTGAACATGTATATGAGCTTGTATTAGAAAAAATTTAAATTAGTGTTCATAATAAAATTGCAAGTGTGCTCACTTGCCTTACTAGCTTCGAAATCATTATGCTCCAAACTTTAGGCACCGTGTTAAGTCTTCTCTTAATAATTGTGACCCTGATAACAGAATTATATCGATTCAAGCTTAACAAATCAATTTAAAAAGAATTACATTAATTGTGATACCTCTTTCTAAATCATACATATCCAAGAATAATAGCTTGGTTATTATTCTGCTTCACTTTCAGTTGTTAAATGTTTCAAATGTGTTATTTTTATCTATTTTCTAAACAGAAATGACAGGAAAATATGATTTTAGTGACAAAACTCTCATTGTTTTTATTTATGCAAATAACCAAACAAATTATTTGAAACTTTATAAATGAATTAAATAGATATTGTGTTTGCTATTTAACTTTTTTTAATCATAGTTATGAAACATCCTTTTTCAATTGTTATTGTTAATTTTCATTTACTCCATAGTTATAAACTTAAACTTTGAGCATTTATAGTATAGGTATTGAGTATTTTATTTTTGTAGACACAAAATTTTTGTGACTTTTGTAAATATTCTATTTATATACAGATAATTTAATTATTAATATCAGCACAAGAATTTTAAAATATTTTTTTATGGTATTTATTTTATCTTCTGAAAGTTTTTCATCCTATGCGGTTCAGTTTAATTACTGACTATATAGTATCACCTACAAGATGAAAATTCAATTTGGAAAAATTAAATGTTCGACATAAACATTAGTTAATTCTGTATTTTTTCTGGTATCGTGACAAATTTGTCTGAGATCCGATTACATTTTCTCTAATTTTCAATCTTTCTCTAATTAAATATTCATTTAATATTTTAGATTGGCAACCTAACACTTGGAAAATTTACTGTATAATTTAAATTGGTAATAATAATAATATTAAACTAGTTTTCCTTCCTATTATTTATTTATTAAGAATTTTATTATTTGAAGTTAAGATCATTATAATTTCCTTCAATAAAAATCAGTTCAATCTTTCAATCTTTTGATCAATCAACTATTTACTACATCGTTTAAACGTACTGCTTTTAAATATTTTCAAAAACATTAGTTCAATTACTCTATCATTATTGTAACTATGGAAAGTCAAGTACAACACATATTGAAATTGGACGCATATTCATAGAGTAACAAGGAACATTTCATTTGAATATTTGGTAAAAATATCATTGAGTTTTGATTTATTTTATTTTTTAATTGATAAGTTATTTTCTTTTACAGATGTTGGAAGATAAGGGCAATACTGCAGTTTATTTATTGTATGCATTAACTAGAATCAGGTCGATAGCTCGTAATGCAAATATTACATCTGCTGAAATACAAGAAGCTGCTAAGACACAATTAGTTGCTGTTGAACATGAGAAAGAATGGAAGCTAGTAAAGGTACAATTTTTAAAATAAAAAATGCATACATTTGTATTGTTTGGTTCAAAGTCTTTCATTATATGTTGTTTTTACGTTTTAGATGATCCTGAGGTTCAACGATATTTTAATCAAAATTACTAAGGATCTTTATTTACATTCGTTGTGTGATTATCTTTATGAACTATCCACTGCCTTCACGGAATTTTATGACTCTTGTTATTGTATAGAGAAAAATGGAAAAACAGGTATACCAAAACATACATTGTTCCCTTTTAGAGTTTAGTTTATGCTTGATTTGGGGTTTTCACATAAAGCCTGGAAGAAATTTCTGTGATCATTAAGCTTTATGAAAAAAAAAAAAAAAAAAAAGCAAAGTGAAAATAATTACATGGAATTAATAGTTGTCTTAGCAGAACTGTTAGGCATGACTTCTTGTTCTTTTTATTTTTGTATGATTACATTGATTTCAGATTGCCTTCTGTTATTATTTTCTTTTCTTAAATATTGATTGTAATAAACTAATCATACATGGTAGTTTTATTGAGAATAAATTGGGCTGGGATAATGCCTTTTGTTCATTTCTAGCTGTATTTTTTTAGCCATTAAAAAGATTAAACATTTATTTCATATGAACTAGATGTATTCTATAATGTTCTATTTTTAGAATTTTAAGGAAATTAGTCTGTTGTTAGTGAAGCGTACTGTAAATATTTCTCAATTTTTTTCAATATAGCCAATGAACCTCATTTATTAATACACCAATGCTAGGTGATAAATAGAAATTAGATTTTATTTTTTTTATTAACTAGCGAAACTTATCTTCACAAGTCATGCATTATCCCTCTTTCCCTTGTACCTATTTTCTCTTAAAACCATAATATTTCCTATATGAATGTGATAGTTAATTAATTTAAATTGTCCTCCTAAATCCCGATAGATTAACTTATTTCATTAATCAATGCATTATTTTAATAGTTTTATTTATTAAAAATAAAATTTTATTGCTGATAAATAAAAAAACTTATAGTGAGAAGAGTGGTAGAGATACCTCAGATGAAATTAAGGAAAACAGTTGGGGAATGGAGTCTTCTGAAGAAAAAACTTCAGAATAATAGTAACGTTTTGTGTGTTTGTTTTTTTCAGGTGAAATACTCAAAGTTCATATGAACAGACTCATGCTGTGTGAAGCCACTGCTGCAGTAATGGAGAAATGTTTTCATATTTTAGGAATTCAAACATTATCCAAGATGTGATTTTATCTCAATTTATTTTTAATAAAATGCTTATTTTTAATTTATTAAATTCTGTAATCCTTTACACTTTCCCAAAAACTTTATATGTTTTCATGATTATGATATTTCATGTATGAAAGAACTGGAATGTGCAAAAATTAAACGAATACATAGCATTATTTGTATATAATAACTCATATAAATATTTTTATAAACCTAAATTATGCAAAGATTCATGAATAAAGAGACTGGATTTTCTTTCACCATTTAATACATCCCTTAAATGTTAAAAATCATTTTATACAAATCCTTGAAAAAGTAAGTAAATAGCAAACTTTTAAATCTTTAGTCACGAAAAAGGTTGATTTATAAATGTAAGTTCTGAAGGAAAATGTAAACATTCAACTAAAAAATCTGTATATTCAGCCTTTTAAGGGGCAAGGCCTTCAGAATTTATCTTCACTTATTTGTAATTTCATGGCTAAACATTAAACTCTTCATTCAGTTGGCTAATCAATAATTTTGACATAACTGAATGGACCAACTTTGAGCATCAGTATTTTTATTATTGAATTTTGTCAGAAAAAATGTTTCCATGGGTTATAGATATGTAAAGGAATATTTCATATGTTATCATAAAGGATATATTGCTTGGAAAGTGTACTTTATTTACTCTGTTTTCTACCTTAAAAGGTTTTCCATAGGGAATGCTTATGTTTAAAAGGAATTCCATCCCATAAAACTTCAGTTGTTTATACTTGAGAGCTTTTCAATACTTCCATAGCATTTTATTTGAAAAACACGTTTCTACAAAATATTTGTTAATATTAAACACCTTCATATTTATTGTATAAAATTATATATAAAAAGACCAATGAGACGAAATTTAAGTTAATTAAATGGTTATCTGTATAGATTTAAAAAAATTATTTGTGAGGGGCTCCTCTTTTGGTTGTCAAATAAACCTTAAATCTTCCCTTAGAAAGTTTTAGTGTATAATTTGTTTATTTAAATATTTTATCTTACTCTAAAAGTTATTTCTGCATGTTATTTGTTTAATTAGATAAGTTTATCGTATAAAATCAAATGTACCCGACATGAAATATTGTCAACACTGTAACAACAGATCTGTAACCTCCCGTCCCTTGTATTCAAAAAGGTTGCTTGGTCATAGTAAAATCAAAATGGTATGTAAGTGTTATTTATTTCTTGCCATGATTGATAAAAATCATTAAAAATTAATACTTGTGTATTTGTTAATTAGAGTTTTGGACTACCTTCCGTGAAAGGTCCTTTTGATGGCCAACAGGAACTTGGACTTGTTTCAGGTCCATTTGAAGTTCATGACACCTTTGGTTTTGGGTTAGTAGGAAAGAGATAAACTAGTTTAACTGATACTGTGTATTAATAAAAATTATCAATTCGTAATCTGTTTTTTTTTCAGAATCAAAAAGGTTAAGGAGAATGTAACTGCAGTTCATCCATTGGAGTTATCTGAAAGAAATGTGAGTATATCCTTGATTAATTGATTCCATTAAGGAAGACATTATAATTTGCTCGTATATTTTCTTCCAGTACTCGCTAAGGGAGGAAAAGCTCAATTTGGGAATGCTCCGGAACAATCAAGGCTTACATGCTCCATTGAAAGTTATGGCTGAACTTCGGGCAACCAGACAAGTTGGAAGGCTCCCGTTCTTACCGAGTTCAGATTTATCTACTGCTACCATTAAAAACAGTGATGATTTCATCGACTTCACAGATTTCCTTAACCATTCAGAATTTGAAGAAAAACGTTTGATGCCTCATGTTGTAATGGAAAGAAGCCTTGGTATTTTGTAGTAGTAATAACTCTTTGGAATTTTTTTTTAAAATACATATACTTGGTCAATGATTTTTTTTTTTTATCTTTTAAAACGTTATAAATTATCATGATAATGTATCTTAATAAAAACATTGATAATAATTCTGTTCAATTTTATTTATACTTTAACATGGATTACTATCATTTTTGTACAATAAGTTTATCCTTGCTTTTCAGTTCTGTAGATTAAGCTAAATCAATCGAAATAGAATCATTTCAAAAATTTGTCCAAGCTTTGATAACAGCCGAATCAAACACTTTTAAGAATTCATTATTTAAAATTTGATATCCATGAAAAGCCACTTAATTTTTTATATCACTTATATTATGAATTTATTCCTTTTGTGATAAGATCTATTTTCGAGTTGTTAACTAGATGTAGAATATAATAGAAAATAACTTTATTCTGGAACAAAGCCCTTTAAAATAACAAAATTAAAATATATATGGCCCAAATAAAAACAAAAAATACAGAGGAAGAGAAAAAAGTAAAGAAAACATTAGTTAAACATACTAATGTTGTAATGGTAAATATGATGATTGACTATCTATTAGAAATCCAAGATATGGATACTGAGGTGAATAAAGTATACGTTTTATTTTTCATTATTTGAAGATTTTGCTATGAAAAGGGGACTTCAGAATTTCCGCTTTTGCTTGCAGTGATTGTAAAAACATTTGGAGATATTCAGTTTGTATGAAAAAGAAATCTTTCTATCGCCTATACTATAGAGAAAATTATCTGTAATAAACTGCAGCTAGCATTAATTACAGCTTTGGGTAACAACCAGACCTAATTAAAGCCGTAGTTTTAGTTAAAGTGGAGATGTCCACATTTGTTAGCAAACTCATTTTTTTTTATTTTGTACTTTTCGATTTTACTGGAATCATTTGATATCGTTCGGAAATATTTCCTCTTTTTTAATTGCTTTTAGCCCCGATGACTTACAAAGTGATTCAAGTGATCAGTTATATAAAATTAATTGACTATATTTCTAATGTGACGTATTACTCAATATGCAACAAGGAAATAATAACATTTTTACTTTTCTCTAGTACAAATATAGGTTTTTGGTGCAATCATTATAATTTTAGAGGTTCTTTTCTTTGATGGGTATAGTTTTTTATTATATTTAACTATGTTATGAATGAGTTTTAGAAAGTGGTGATAACATTCTAATGGAGCCACTAACATTGCTTAACTTTTTAACAAAACAAAAGTAAAATACTGAAACATTAACAGAGAAAAAACAATGTTTCTTTTTCTTTTATTTATACACTAAGAAAGCAGAATCATAAATTGCAGATTGTTCTGACTCCTGTAACTGGGTAATGAAACTCTGATTAAAAAGTTTAATAACTTGTTTATAGTTTCACTTTAACAGTGATTTTGAGTACTACCGTCATCCTATTTTGGCTAACTCTTCCTTATGTCTTAACTTTTACGAATTACCCTTACTTTTTTAAATACAAATTTTCATTTTTTTTTAAAGGTATTTGCTTAATGTTTTATTATTGCATCTTAAATGTTTTAATGAAAATTACAATTTGCTGTAAATATTGGTATCAAAATATTTTGAATAAAAGCTTCGCTTGGTTGAAAAAAAGATCTGTATATAAAAGTATCTTACCAATCGGATAAAAATTAAATATATTTTTAATTGACATAAAGCTGATTTCAAATATGTTAGATCCAGATAGACATGGTTCAACTGTAATGTCAAATAGAAGTTGTAAATCTATCATTAGGCATTGTTTATGAGTACAATTCCATCAGTTTCAAACATGAAAAACTATACACACTTCCAAAATTATGATACTCAGAAATTTCAAGTTTCAATTAAAAAATTTATTTGGTATCCGAAGACCAAAAATACTATAATTCCCCGACCAACTTCCTTAGAAATTAGAATTACAGTAAATTATCTCCATACCATTATTGTACTGATATATTTCTTTACGATACATTGTGGAAAATAAATTATAACTTGACCAGCTGAAGGATCCATTATAGAAAATACAAATTTCTAATTCAAAGAATTTATTTAATTATTTTATATTTACTTCTTCATCACTCCATAAAGATTATATCAATTGTAAATCAGTGCATTAATGAACCTAAATAAGCACTGAAGTAGTAAAAACTTAAAAGTTCCTTATATTACTGAGATTGGTGCATTTATTGATGCATTTATTCTTATAACTCATTTTGCAACTACTGGAAGTTAAAAATAAAAAAATGTTAATTATTGATCAATTTTAAGTTGTTAAAATGACACCAAAGTAAGACAATGTGGCTTTTTGTACAGAAAGTGAATAAATGTACTTTAATGATATATGTTATAACGTACATATATCATTAAATTTGATACTATTTGTTTAAATATATATATATATAAATTATTAAATTATATTCTTGTTTAAATTGTTTTATTAAAATCCATAGTAATGAAGCCATTGTAAGAAAGACCAATAAGATGTATTTTCCTTGGGAATCATAAATGTCGGAATACAGAACATTAAAATAAAACATTTATTCTTTCTTATCAACACATGAATATTTTTGTTTTCTAAATAAAATTTTATTATACAATATACACAGTCTTATCTTTAGAAATAATAAAAAGAAAACAATTCTATGATTCTCAGTTAACTAAAATTATTTTAAGTTCATCTTTCATTTTTTAACCTCATTCATAAGAGATCATAAAATTAAATTGATAACAATTTAGAGGAACATTAGATTTTTTATCAAAGATCTTAATATTCTAGTAATAAGAATAGGGGCAGATAAAAAACAAAACAATATTTTATATGTACAGAACAGAAGCTATCTTGGAGGAAATGAAAATCATAACAACACTTAACCTTTAAAATAAAAACCTTCCACTTATTAAAATAACAGTATTCATTAAAATAATATAAGACTTCCATAGTTAAATATTTATAGTCCAATTATAAATAACAAATATACACACTTTAGATTTTTAAAAATATCAAAATATTTTATTGGGGAATGTTCTTTTTTTTCTTTTTCTTTTTTTTCTGCTTGGGGGGGCTCTTTGTTTGATTTGGAGTTTTTTTAATGTTATTTACATTATTAATATTGACATAATTGTTTTGGAAATATCTACTTTTTTTGTTTCTTTTTGGTGTTAGAGGTTTGGATGAAGTTGAAGCTTCATTGAATGGAGTAGATCTCTGATTGAATGGCGTAGATGTTTGATTGAATGGAGTTGATCTCTGATTGAACGGAGTAGAAGTTTGATTGAATGGAGTTGATCTCTGATTGAATGGAGTAGACCTCTGATTGAATGGAGTAGACCTCTGGTTGAAAGGAGTAAATCTCTGATTGAATGGAGTAGATTTTTGATTGAATGGAGTTGATCTTTGATTGAATGGAGTAGAAGTTCTATTAAATGAATTGGGGTTTTGAACAAATGGGGAAGGATTTTGGTTGAATGAAGCAGGATTTCGACCAAATGGAGTATGATTCCTATTGAAAGAACCACGCTTCCGATTAGGCGTATTTGGAGATTTATCAGAATGGTTCTGATTCAATCTTTGTTTTTTCGGAGTCCTTACAAAATCAACATTATGTTCTGCATCTCGGTACCTCTTTCCTGTAAAATTAATAAATTTATATTAAATTATATAACCTAATTTAAATTCCATTAATAAAAATTACAATAAAATATTTTTCAATAATCTCAGGTATATTCAAGTTCAGAATACAGTCGGATTGAAAAATCTAAAAATTCTTTAATTAACAAAAATATTTTCTTTTAACATCAATCATTGATGAAATAAAAAAAAAAATTGTTCAAATGTTAGAAAAATTAATAATTGCTGTAAAGTCAACATTTTGGAAATACAGATGCTTGTATTCAACAATACTGAGAACATTTAATATTCATATTAAGTATTTTACTTTTTAAAATAAATAATAACAAAGAAATATACTATCTAAACCTTTATAACTGAAAACGAACTATTTGACAGATAATGGATTTTAAACAATTTTTATTCTAATTTAATGAGGCATAGAAAATGACTAGATAATTTAACATAAACAAAGAGTTCAACTCAAAAATTTTAGGATTTTTCATGACATAAAAATACATTCTCTGCATTGACATGTTGACCGTCAACTGATAACTGATAGTTTTTCATACTGGTAAAAATATCAACGAGCTATCTCGTTCGTCCATTAGCCATTTTTGTGTAGCTACATGGAAATTTCGTAGTATAATAGTGTAAACATTAGATGTTATAAAATTATGCTTCATAATTCTCAATAAAATACCTACTTGACAAAGTACTTAATCTTTGTATAAAGTTGACTATTGTTAGGCATAGGGTAGAGAACTCAGAAAAACAAAGCAATCTTGAAAAATTTCTTCAGCCAAGTTTTTCTAAAAATGCAGCCTTATCGACAGTTAACATTTTGGTCACCCCATCTCAATTATTGCTTTCATATCTGGTATCAGTAAGTTCAAATTTACAGTGTAGAATGGAATCGCTCAATTTAAGCTTTAAACTGTGGAAGCATGAGAGCACCACCCAATTAGTTATTCTGAGGAAAAAATAATATACCTCTCACTGGAGGCCTGTCATAAGTACAACAAAATGTTGGTAGAAAGACCAGTTCTTCAGAAAAATTATTTGGTTGATTAAAAGGTGCTTATTGGAAAGCTCCAAGTAATTACGTAGAGCATGAGACAACGAGCTCAATTAGTCAACTTGTGAAGGATTAAAGAAACACCTTATCTATTTATTATAGATAATATTTGTTTATTGTTGTATTATCCATACTACTATTAGTTACAGCATATACTTAATATAATCAGATATTTATTATTTTTTTTAAATTGCATATTCGTTAAATTTTAAAAACAGATATGTTTATTTTTAAAACCTTTATTTAATTAAGTGGGATAATAGAAAAAAATGCTAGATATATATATATATATATATATATATATATATATATATATATATATATATATATATATATATATATATATATAAAAGGAATTTGCAGAGATATTCTACTTAGAAGATGGAAAAAATTTCAGCCAGTAAAGAATAGTATCAAAATATATCACATTTACTCTTCATCATAAGCCTACTACATTCTGTACCACAGCATTCTTCAACAATACTCCCCTTATCCCAGTCAAACAAATCCGTTACTTAAGACATCTTAATAAATCTCTTAAGGTACTATTTCGCTGAGGCGGTCCATGACCGTGACTGCTCGAGGTTGACCACTGCTTTAGTGGAATAGAAAGGAACCTATTTCACTGGCGCTGCTCGGCAGTCTAGGTATGACGTCATATCTAAGCTGCTCCTATCTGACCGCTCCTTAAGCAGTGGAGCTGTTGGCGGTTGTAGGTTATGTTATTATATCAGAGCATTGTTTTGATGATAACAAACACGTCGATACGTTTTATTTCCTATGTTTCTTTTCAAGTCTGGCAATACTATAACAAATATTGTTTAAAACTGAAACAATGCTATAGTAAATTGAAGCAACAAGATTATTTATTTATTTATTCCACCAGCAATATTTTACAACAAAATACAAATAAACCTAAATCCAAACGATATTAAATAAATTTAAGAATCCAACAAATTTTATCGTCAGGTAAATACTAAAATCCACCCATTGAAAAATCGATTTGTATTTTTTAATTAAAGTGGTGATTTACTGATTACTATTGATAAAACTATAAAACATCGCCTGCTGGGATTTAATTACAAATATATGATATTTATTACTAATCAATTATATATTAATTACTATTACTTTTCAAACTAATAATATTTAATATCAGAGGGAATATTGTTGTTAGTACGGTGTTTCCCGCATTTTTGTTCTTTTTTGGTTGTTCATCTAGACAATAGCAAACAATGTCCAAGAAGGGATTTGATGATGAGCATCTCATCGAAATACGGATATTCCTTCTCTTTATGAACAACATTTTCTCTTCTTTTTCCTCCTCAAATAAAAAAGCCGTAGCCAGAGATGTTCGTTATTATAGGATTATAGGATGTTCATTTTTATTATTACAGGATGTCCATCTTTTTATCTTCGAAGGTTATAGGCAGGTTATAACAACCCCAGTGAACAGTTTCAGCGAAATAGCTACGCCAACAGCGGTTGGCAGCGTGGAATAGCGGTCGCTGTCATGGACCGCGCCAACAAAATAGTACCTTTACTTGTAATCCTTATACGATACTGAAACGACTAGAAACTATTCATAGATTCAGATTACTATAATACCTACTTGACAAATGCGCTTTAGGGGCCCACAAATCCATCAAATTCTTCCTGTATCAAAACTCTACAATCCAAAATCCTCTGTAGAATCCTTACTGCTCCCTATCATGTCACAAATTAACCAAAAGACTTCAATATCCCCTTTGCTGCAGATTTTGCCTTAATAAGATCTCTTTTAATTCCAAACTCGTTGGACAACCTAACCCTCTCGATCATAACCATTCATCCCTAACAATCCTACGAAGATTGTGTGAAAATAAGACGGCCGAGGAACCTCCTATTAAATTAATCTAATCACTAAAGTGCTCCCAATGGGTAGATTCTTCACAAGTTTCCATCATTTTTAATATTCTTATAACAAATTTACTTGTATTTATTTATACAGTGGTAAATTACAATAAATGAATGAAAAGATAAAAAAAAAAAATTAATATATTTGATGTGAATAACAAATAGAATTCAACTGTCGAAATGTTTAATTGAAAATATATTATAAGATAAATATTTATACTTTAAGTTAACATGTTTTCATTCATTCGTCTAATATAAATAATATCTTAGAGTAGATTAGTTTAGGTCGAATCCACTACTGTATCCTGAACTAGAGAAGTGGCCATTAATGCCAAAACTTTGAGCACAGTAAAAAAAAAACTGTAGTACTGAAATAAAACAGATACGTACCTTTGGGAAATTTAGATACTGATTCTTCTGTTTTCTTAATGAGGGATGATGTAGGAGGATAAACGGACCAATATAACTTAGGGCAGTTCTCAAAGAGATGACCACTCTGAGCACAGTTGCAGCACATGAGCCTTTCATTTAAAGTATCTTCTTTGACGACAAGCTCTCCCTCGGTCTTAAAAAAAAATGTTTCATTTAATATAAGGAATATATTGATATGTCATAATTAAAGTATGATTTTTTTTGGTTTAGCATTTTCATATATATTTCAAAGACTTTATTCCTATGGATTTACCAATAAATGAATCATCCTACTTAACCAGTGCATTTTTGACTACAAAATGTGAACCTTTTTAGTTCTTAAAAATACACTCTAAACCAAAATGATCAAGTTCTGACAGTAAATCTCAAAACATGCTTAAGTAAACAGAAAGTAACACACCAGCTGAGAACTAAGCTTTCAGAACTTCAAGATGTAATATGACCTGCCCATCGAAGCCGGCCTACTTTAATCATCTTTACGATATTTGAGCTCTTGTAGAGTCTTTTTAGCTCAGCATTCGTTCTTATCCTCCAGGAAACAATATATAATACGAAACAAAAAATTTAAATAAAAAATAAGCAATCTTACATCTACAACCATATTATATTTTCAGATAAGCCACTTTTGGTATTGCACCAAAGATATATTCTTGAAGGTGGGACAAAACCGAGAAATGTTAAAGAATGAGGAATGTTGCGATTACTTAATATATTGGTAAAGAGGAAGTTTATAAAAAGTGTTTCACTTTCTATTTTTAATTTAAAAAATGCAAAGAGTTCATTGCCTCTAACAAGAAGAGTGATATCTGCAGTAAATTTAAATGCAGGCAAAATGATAAAAATATATTTAATCATATATTATTACAGTAAGGCTCGAAATCGGTTTTGTAACAAATATAAGCTCCTGTCATGCTCAAATACCATGAATGGGGTACCATTGGATTCAGAATTTCACAGGAATTTAGCAAATTGTACTCTCCACTTTTATTTTTCTTTCTAGAATAAATAAAGTCGATACTAACATTTTGATAGGCTAATACTGGAACGGTGCTAAGTATATAGATCGATACGGGACAAATCAGGCTTTGAAAATTTTGATGCGCATAGCAAGACCCAGATAGTTTCTTCAGAACTATTGGGTCCTACGTTCTTAAGCCCAAAAACATACTATTTTCGAGATAATGCAAGGCAAAGGTTTGCATCCACACAACCTTACATTAATTGTAGTACTGTCATGGAATACATGTTTCATTTTGTCGACGTGAGGTCCATATGACCGAGAGAGGAGGAGTTAATATTATTTATCAAAGGTTTGTTTGTTTGTTTCGATGTCTAGGCGCAAAACATCCAGGTCATAAGCGCCCGATCAACTAAATAACATCATTTAATACTATTTGGATGATTGGTACAAAAAAATAAAATAAAATAAAATAAAATAAAATAAAATAAATAAAAAAATAAATAAAATAAAATAAAATAAATAAAGAAATGGATTGATAGAATAAAATAAATAAATAAGGATAATAATAGACATTTATAGGTAATAAGATGTATAAAAAATGTATAAATAAATAAACTTTAAAAAATAGCAGTAGAATCAATAAAATAAATAAATAAATAAAAAAATAAATAAAAATAGATAAATAAATTAAAAAAAAAATAATAAAAATAAATAAATAAATAAAAGCCTGTCAAATGTGTTTTTTAAGTCTTTCACTATCCATAAACTTGATGACTTTGGTAACCATTTCTTCTTGATTTCCCAGGGATGCTGATATATTCTGGGGTATTCCAAAATCTTTTAATCTTGCGGTGTAAAAAGGGCATTCTTCCAAAATATGTTTTACAGTTAGTGATTGGTTACACTTTTGACATCGGGGGATAGAATCTTTTGTTATGAGGTGGAGGTGAGTCAGTCTAGTATGTCCGATCCTCAGCCGCGTGAGGACGACCTCTTCTCTACGACTGCTGCGTCTGGAGCTGGTCCACGGTTGCACCTCTTTCTTTATTGTTTTTAATTTGCTAGGTGCGCTGATGTACCACCCTCTTTGCCATTCTTGGAATATGGTTTCTCTCAGAGGTATTTATCAAAGGTGTTTTTTGTCAGTAAGCCACATCATCGTTAAATCTTCACCAAATCTCAAAATTGAGCCACCAATTTTGAAGGTTTCCTTTTCCTTCAGGCGGGCAAAATAGTACAATCACCCCGAAAATTCAGGCAAACAAGTTATGAAAGAAACTTTATTTGTGAATAGCTCGAAAATTACACACTTTTCCCTGGGTTATGTCCATGATTATATACAAGATTACTAAATTCTCTACAAGGGAAAAAAAAAAAATCATCGAAAGTGGACTATTTTTAGCAAAAGATACAGTTTATTGGAATTTGTAAACATATTGGTTGCAAACATTAATAAAGTTTTTAATTTTTGGTTCCTTTGTCGATTATATTTAGCGAGAAAGTAACAATTGATTTCTTATATGAAATGTTGCATTGTTACATTTTCTTATTAATTTATTATTTGATCAACAATGAAATGAAATGAAAATTTTCGTACAGGTCTACTAGTTATTTATAAATTATAAAAACTCTCAACAAATTAATATTATCGGAAAAGGAATTATTAAAACTTACCGTAGCATGGTACCTCCTCCAAGTATCTGGGCAAAGATCCTTAGTATGACCATTTTGTTGGCACTCACTGCAAGTTTGGAACCTACTATTTTCACACTTGTTACACATAGCCACAAAAACTCTGCTTCTTCTTCCGCACTAAAACAATATAAAAAAATTAAGTAAGTTTGTGTTATTTAGATTAGGGTCAATAGAAAAAACGTCTGCCAAGTAAGGTCAGTATAGCTTCCTCACCATTTCTGTTGTATATTACAAGGTATACAATTTTTCATATGAGAATAAAATCTCTGAGAGAAGCAGAATCGGAATGCCAATTACAGTTTCCCTTCAACATTCAACAGAAGAGTGTCGTATTTGAAGATTCCATACTTGATTATGCTTAATAAAAAAAAATGCATACTGAACATGAATTTCAATACTGTTAGTGCAAAAGGTCTTATGTAAAAATTTATTTATTGTTTTACAAGAGTGATTAAAAACTCATTATTTCTTTATGCTTTATTAGAATAATTTCATATTTTTTGTCATCTGTTATTTTCCATAGTAGCAGACTAATTATAATAAAATTTTTAATACGAACTTTTGCTTTAATAATAGCGATATACATACCGGATACAGATTTAATTTTGGGGGAGGAGCTTCAGCCCGAAAGATTTATATATATATATATATATATCGATAATTAATTTGAAAAAAAATCCACGGCAAATTATTTCACTATGGTATATTAATTCCAAACAATTATACATATAAAGTAACATTAAATTCCTAGTTATAAATAAAAATAAATAAAAGGTGATTCCAATTATTGGACTAAACTTTTTTTTAATCATTAGTGATATGCTAAAAAATAGCATTACTTCAGTAACACATTCAAAAATCAAAACAAAAGATAAACCTTTTGCAATAGCACATCTAAAAAAAAAAACTAGAGACTATATCTTTGCTCCTAATTGTCCGATTTTAACGATTTTTTTTTTGGTTTTTTAGGAAATTTATCAAACTTTTAAAAAACCATATACAATATTAACAAAAATGTGTATACTTCTTGAGTTATTCGGAATTTAATTTTACCATATTCTAATCTAACAATATTATTCTATTCCAACAATAGTTTGTCTGTAATTATGTTTACTTCCTCCTTTTGTAACATTAAATTTGAATCTTTGCCAGCACAGAATATATATATATATATATATATATATATATATATATATATATATATATATATATATATATATATATTGTAACATATTTTATTAGGGCCTTTATAAATTGTAATTGTTAATAGAACTCATGTTCATGTTTTATTTTTTTTTTACTGTGTGAAAAGGAGCATTGATATGTAATATATATATACATTTAATTTATTTCTAGATATTGTATTAATTTTAGTTGTGATTTAATTTGAAATTGTAAAAAACAATAATAACATTTAACTAGCGATAAAGATTAAAAGGTACGATGTTTTAGAGCTAACGTTTTTTAGCAGGGACCCCTGTTTTAGAGCAGGGACGTTTTAGAAGTTTTAGAGCAGGGACCCCTCCCTGCCAGATGGCAAGGCCGTAAGGGTCCAATAAACCCCACCAACATAATCATTTAACCCGCCTCACGGCTAGTCCTCCCCTCCCCATCCCTATCCATATCCCTATTCCTCCCCCCCCCCCTACTTATTTTATCGTTATGCTTAATTTTTATTTTATTTTATATATTTTCACTTAACGAGCGGAGGACCCTCAACTCCATAAATCTTATCAAGACCTTAAATGGACAGGAAGAGATAACAAACAAAAATCATTCAACGCACCTTCAAATACCACAGGTAGAAAAAGGTCAAGGTAATTCAAAGTATCGTTCCGCTAGTGCACTGGTCCGATATGACACTGATATCATGGTTTGTTTTGTTTCAGAGGGATCGGAAAAAAAAAAAAAAAAAAAAAAAAAAAAAAAAAAAAAAAAAAAAAAAAGGGCAGGCACTCTCTCCCGAGTCACTACCTTCTCACATAGGCTCCTGGTATCTCTCTGTCTGACAGTTTGAAACCAGACCAATGTGTTATTTTTTGGTTTCACCTTCCTCCTTCTCTTTTCTCTCCTAACCTACCTCCTCTCTCCTTTCGTAGGAATAACTTGGTTGGCCCTTGTTTTCCTACAGTCCCCCTTGCATCTTCCAGGTTGTCCCTGGGAGTGTAGGGTTACCTATCCTCGCAATGTCAGGGGATTGCCTCCTCGGTTGCAGAGCCCTGGATGTGTAGGGGTTGTCCCCCTATCATTCTTGGCGGTCTTACCTTATCCTATCCTCGCAACGTCAGGGGATTGCCTCCTCGGTTGCAGAGCCCTGGATGTGTAGGGGTTGTCCCCCTATAATTCTTGGCGGTCTTATCCTATCCTCGCAACGTCAGGGGATTGCCTCCTCGGTTGCAGAGCCCTGGATGTGTAGGGGTTGTCCCCCTATCATTCTTGGCGGTCTTATCCTATCCTCGCAACGTCAGGGGATTGCCTCCTCGGTTGCAGAGCCCTGGATGTGTAGGGGTTGTCCCCCTATCATTCTTGGCGGTCTTACCTTATCCTATCCTCGCAACGTCAGGGGATTGTCTCCTCGGTTGCAGAGCCCTGGATGTGTAGGGGTTGTCCCCCTATCATTCTTGGCGGTCTTACCTTATCCTATCCTCGCAACGTCAGGGGATTGCCTCCTCGGTTGCAGAGCCCTGGATGTGTAGGGGTTGTCCCCCTATCATTCTCTGCGGTCTTACCTTATATACCTTATCCTTCTGTTCCTATCTAAGCTTATACACCCCATTCTTACTAACTTAAATAGCTACACGAACCAGGTTAATTGACTAACATAAAGATTAAAGGTTAGAAGGACAGATTTCAGATTTTAAAAGACAAACGTCGGCAATAACATACAGACAGACAGAGATAAAATAAAAATAAAAATATTACAATATATATATATATATATATATATATATGTATGTAAATTATTATTACTTATTTATATGTAAATATGTGCAATTTATTGCAACAAAAATCAAAATCGTTCAATTTAAGCCAAAAACGGCAAAACGTGCAATATAACATTTAAATATGTTATTATACAGATTCTGAAATGTATAGATATTCGGGTCTGTGGTTCTTACACGCAAGCGAATAAAATGTGCAATAACATGGAAATCCGGTCTCTAATTATCACTAACAGTTAATCTTTCTTTAAAAAAAAAATATATATACAAACATTTAAACATTTCTTTGATGGGCAGTTTGAATCATTGTGTCCAGAATTACCGCACATAGAACAATTAATAAATCTTCGAGGGCAGTTCTTCTTTTGATGATCTGTTTGCCTGCAAATTAGGCACCTTTTAACTTTCCGATTAAAAGGCAATCTATCTTCAATGTTCACATGCCACTCTCCATGACCTTAAAAACAAAACAATACATTATGCTCTCAGAATGAGAAAATGTAACGATAAAATACTACATAATTAAGTTTTAATTTTTTTTTACCTTTATATTTTAAAACAACTGCTATTTTACACCCCAATTTAGGCCTTAAAATTCAAAATATGGGATGAAATGTTATGAAAAATCAATTAGATTCAATGGCACTCCAAATGAAAAAATTTTGCAGGCTCTATGAATCACTGAATGTTCGAAAAATTAAACTCGTCTATATTCGACATAAAAGTTCGCCTAATGCCCCTAAAAAACAAGGCTTTTTTCCTTCATTAATTAACCAAATAGCACTAATTTCAAGACTGCTATTTTTTTTTTTTTCTTTTTTTTTTTTTCTGTTTCTTACTGACCGCTCCTGAAGCAGTGAAGCTGTTGGCAATACAGCTCTTATAGGTTGTGAGATTATATTGGACAATTGCTTTGATGATAACAATATTCTTGATACATTTCATTACCTTCCTTTTTTTTAACAAGTCAATCAAAATAAATGAAAAGTTGTATGAAATTCAAACAAAGCTGTAGCAAATCATTTTTTTAAACTTTGAAGAAACAAGATTATTTATTACACCAAAATTATTATAGAGGAATTGAAATCTACCTAAATCTAAACGACATTATATAAATTAATAATCTGAAAAACTTTAACTTCAGGTAAAAACTCAAACTCAGACATTGAAAAATCAATTTGTCTTTTTTAATTAAAGTGCTAATTTATTGATTATCTATTGATAAAACGGTAGAACATTTTCTGGTGCGATTCCATTACAAATATGTGATATTTATTACGAAAATAATCATACTATTAATAAGTAATAAATCAAAGATACATACTTATAATAGGACTTACTTTTACAAGCCTTAAAGCCAAAAAAAAGAACAAATAATAAAGATAAATACTCAATTCTTAAAATAATATTTTGTCTTCTTTTTATCATAAGGCTAATATTTCCTATTCAAAATATTACAAGAAACCATCATTTTGCAAAAGGTGGGTAATAAGTAGCATGAACAGTTTGCAGTATGGAACGGCAGTCCTTGCCGTGGGCATAACCAGCAAAGTAAAACCTTTAGCTTTAATAACAGGCAGCTTATAACTACCCTTCACTCAAAAGGAATAAACAAAACTCCAATGAATTATTTTTATTTAATGCAGGGGTCTTAAAAGATAGTTGGTCCACTACTTCTGACACATTTTCAAAATTTCATTTATAGTGTGATCTTGTGCCCAACCAACGAAGTGAAGCAACACTTATAGTCTTACACAGTTCATAATCAAATACCTTCCATATAATTAAAGTCTAAGGAAAGTAATAAGAATGGTCACCTCTTTATATTAACGGACACACTCAACCATTTTGAAATTTTTATGTGTGATTAATGTGATTTGAACCCACCTGCCAACAGACATGACACTTTTTAACAATAACCCCCTTATCTTTCTTATCTATCATATTTATTATTACATAGAGGTAGCACAGATAATTAATGATAATGAGTATTACTGAAATTTATTTTCTTTCTTATATCATTTTTTTTTTTTAATATCCTTTAATTTCCTAAATTAGTAAATCCAGTACCGTAAATAAATAAACCAAATTCCCATTCCACCAACTAGTTATATTTCATAAATTAAATTACTAAGTAATTTGATGAATGTTCCCACTGTGAAATAAGCATATAGAGCCCATAGAATATAACTACTTACTTTAAGGATTAAACCACTGATATATATATAAAAAATTAATACAATATGTTTATTTTGTTTACCTTTAATTTCTTCTCGTATTTTTTCATAGTCGAAATTTTTTAATCTTTCACATGGTTTATTATAATACTTTTTCATACCATTAGTCCAATTGCAGGGACTAGTAACTTCTTTCCAATTAACATTTACAACTTCATCCTCCGAATCATCAATAGGAAAAACGGAAGACAAAGCTGTTGTGTCGCCAATATTAAGAATCATGTCATCCTCCATATCACTATCAGATGAAGAATCACTTAGTGCAACAACACTAGGAGAACTGACATAGGTTACCTCTAACACTGGTTCATTCAAAATAACATCACTATCACTGTCATCATCTGATATTGTTATGAAATCTTGACCTGGTTCAACACCTAAATCATCATTTTGTTCTGAGACTGAGATTTCTTCAGCTGTATCTTTGGTTCTTTCAGTTGTATCTTTGATTCCTTCAAACGATTCTTGCTTTGTTTTCCTCAACGAAATTAAAAATTCATTTTGCTCAGTCCTTTTAATATCATATTTATCTAATAGGTTTGAAGGAATATCCTCAGAGAGCACATTATAATGTAAAACGGAATACAATTCATTCTCAAGATCTTCATCAAGTTCATCACTATCTGTTTCATTGGTCTCTGAATCGATGAACTCCATATAAATGCTTTTGAGTATTTTATTAAAAGAAACATTAAAAATAAGTGTTGTTTAGTTGTTTATGCCATTCCATAGATTTAACTAAATAGCGTAAACAACTAAATAACATAATTCTACCATTGAGGAGGTTATAACCTATGAAAGCACGTGATTCCAGATGACGTGATAATGCTGATGAGATCAATTATTTCTTTATTTTATTTAATTATAGACTGAAATTTATTTTAATAAGTAAGTAATTAACAAATAATGTCATAAAATTTTTTTAAGCTAGAAGTAAATATTTATTAAATTGAAAACAAAACACAGCCAGCTTGTGAGCCTTATCATAAATACTATAATTTATTTTGTTTAATTTTTGATTTTATTTCCTTTAGTCAAAATCTTTTTTTTACTTACACTTTTATAAACCTTTTAGTTTAGTTATAAATAATTAAAACAAATAATTGAAAATGGTAATCAAATATCATTTGATGATGATACATGCAAATATCGATATACTGCCGACAACCTCAATTACAACTATCGATTAAACAACTAAGTTTTTGTAACCTTACTATTACCTTTTGTAGCTATAAAATTCTTGAACTCAAATTTTAACCATGAGTTTTGATATTATTTTTTAATTTTAAATTTTAAAACTAAGGAGTAATTTTAACCAAGTACGATGGATCATAAAGAAGAACAAATTAACGAAATTGAAGCTCTGGAGTCCATATATTGTGGAGAAATGGAAAGTATGTTAATTATTTTTTATTGCTTTAAATAATGTAAAACTTCTCAATTTCATACCACTGATTTTAATTGTTTTTTATTTACTCTGCTTGAATAATGCATTCTTTTGGGATAAAGGATTTGAATCGATTAGTATGTCAGATTATTGAAGTGAATATTTACTGAACTGCGCTGTGTACATCCAATATTTCTTTTTAAAAGGAGATCTCTAGTACTTTTTCTCTTTACCCTCTGGTATATGGGCGGGAGTGAGGGTTCTAGAGGTTTAACCAAATTATTCTAACTGGAGTGGAAAAGTCAAGATTCATTCCATGGGTTCACCACAAAATAAATTTCCATATGCCAAGGCCGAATTGACAACAACAAACTCGAATTTCATTCGCTATCCTGTTACTGTTAGTTCTTAATTGGCTTGAATACTTTGCAATCCTGAGTTGCCTTAACTTTTTGTACTTCAGGTCCCAATTTTATTTTTCTTAATTCAAAAATTTGTATTGTAGTTAGTGACCGCAATTTATCTTATTGTCAAGATTAAATTTTTTATTTGTGAATATTTTTTGTATTCAGGTTGGTTTAAAACAGTTCATAGTATTGTACCAAACAGTTTTGTTTTGTATTTTCACTTACAATATTTACAATAACAAATATTATGCACCAACATAATACTGATAACCTTTATTAATGAAGCTGTTGTATTAATTGTCACTTTTTAGTTTAAAAAATCAGTACTTCTTCAGTAATAGTTAGTTATTATTTTGATTTTATTTGTAGTTATTACCACTGAACCGTATCATGCTTTTATTATTCCGATTAAATCTGATGACTATGAAGAGGGAGTTGCTGGCATTCGTTGTTGTTTAAGATTTGAATATACTGAATTATATCCTGAAGAACCTCCTATCATTGATATCGAAACGGATGAAGATTTTGAGTTCTTCGAGCCTGAAGAATTAAAAAATCACATAATAGATGAAGTAAGTCATTGAAAACATGTATATTACAATAGTCTACTTAGTTTTCTTAAGACAAGTTTTATATAGTCATAAATATTGCAGGCAAATGAGAACTTGGGAATGGTTATGATTTTCACTTTAGTATCTGTCGCCCAAGAATGGGTTAATGAAAAAAACGATCTTGCGAAGATAACAAAAGTAGAACGAGAGGAAAAGAAAAAATTTGAAGAAGAAGAGGCTGAAAGGGTTTGTTTATTAATTTACCTATTTATACTTTATATTATATTCTTTATTTATACTTCATAAGAAAAATACAGTTGGATTTATTCTTATTAATCTAAGATCTATGAATATTTCATGTAGAGAATTTTTCTTTTTCATTATTATCATTTATTAAATTAATATATATTATTTCAATAGTTTAATTTTAATTTGTTCTCCCACTAATATCTTCAACTGTTTGTTTTATAATATAGTATAAATATTTCAAAATATTTATGAATATAATTAAAATATTTCAAATAAAAATAAAAACTGGATTGCATTATAGTACATTTGTAAATATACAAAAAATGCTTCTTATGATTTTAGAAAAAATTCGAGGGTACTAGAGTTACTGTTGAATCTTTTCTTATATGGAAACAGAAGTTTGATGAAGATATGGGCTTTTTATCTAAAAAAGAAATTAATGAAAAAGGGAAAAAAATGACAGGTAGAGAACTTTTTATGCTGGATAAATCGCTTAACGAAAGTGATCTCAAATTTTTGGAAGAAGGTATGTTCAATAATTTAACATATTGTACAAATTTTATATATTTTCATAATCATTTGCTTTCGAAATGTTTTATCCACTTACATACATTATGTTTTCAGTTGACAGAATGACTAATTTCAATTCCAACATTTTTTATTATTACTTTAGTGATATTTCTTATGAAAAAATTTGTATCTTTCTTCAGAGTTCTATATTTCAACACTACAATCACTTACTCTGGAATAAACTTACTCACTATCTGTAAAGATATTATAAATTTTCCAACTAGAAATATCACTAAAATGAATTTACTCAATAATGTTGAAATTTGGATTTAGTTAAACTGTTATTTCTATGTAATCTTACATTTATTTCCCTCATGTCAATGTGTATCATTAAATTTATTTAATATATTATTTATTTATTGCAGGTGGGGAGTATGTTAAGGTTGATGAATCGTTATTTCAAGATATTGAAGATCTGGGTATCGATGAAGACCTTGTGTCAGATGAAGACTAATTTTATTTAACAATTCAATTTCATATTTGAACTTTTCACTTGTTTTTCAATTATATACTTTTTTGTAAATATATACATATTTAATATTTGTAAATGATTTTTACTTTATATTTGTTTCTGTAACTTTTCTTCTTTTTTTTATTAATTATAATAATAGTAATTCATTTGTACATAATAATTATATTAAAGAGGGGAGTAAAATTTGTATATTTGTCTATTTTTCTTTTTCCTATCCTTCTTTTGATTAACATTAAAATTTCAAGTTCATTTTAGTTCATACATGAGATACTATTGAAAGTAAACACTTATTTAAAGCCAAAAATTAAATGAAATAACAAGCTAACTTCCTTATCCACATTTGTTTTCATTATTGTTTAGATTTCTAACTGTTAAAATGCAAAAAGAATCATTTCTTTTCACTAAAACTGAATTGGTTATAATGCTTTTTAATAGTCGCAAAAAAAGATTTTCTTTCTTTTCAGCTTAATTTTTGTTGCAACCTAAGATGGAGAAAAGGAAAGCGGAGATGGGGATAATTGTAATGGAATGTCTAAGGATTTGAATACAAAATCATGTCGAATGTTGGAGAGATTGGTATGTGATGTGAAAACTAAAGAAAGGTGGTTAGCTAAAAGGTTTTATTTTTCTAGTCTGATACAGCTGAGGAACGATCATCTTTATGAAGTGGTACTGACAGACACCTCCTTCTACTTTAGAAGCTTTTTGGTGTATCTTCACAAGCTTCTATTGTCTGTAGAAAGATTGTTAATGTATGAATCAGATGTTTCTCATTTAATTGTTTGTATTTATCATTGTTAATTGGCTGTTAAGTCTATTAAATGACTGTCTGTATGATGGGAGTCTGTTCGTCTGCCAAACTTTTATTGGTGGTACCTAGTTTGGTAGATTTCCTGTTGTCGGGGGCTTAGGCACTGAAAATTACCAAGCTGCGTTCTGGAGCTGTAATGTGAAGATGTCTACAGCTTCCTTCAATTCTTGATCTTTTATTCATAATGGGATAGGAAGAGCAGGATCCAGGTTATTTTTCTAGCTATTCCAATCCATAATCCATTTGATAAGAGCTGATTTTCTTAATGCCTTAGGGGTACATCCTTCAAAAGCAAATTCACAAGGAAATGATTAGAGAAAAGATCACAGATAGTATCAACAGTGTATGTTATAGTTCCCAGGCAGAGAAGCTTTTTATCATTAGAGGCCATATTAAAGTTAGGCAGGCATGATGGAGGCCACTATAATTTTATTGTTAATATTTGTATATGTACAAGAAAATACAGACATATATATATCTACTGCAAGTGTAAAAGGTCTCTAACAATTTTTAGGTGTCTGTCAGTTCCACTTCGTAAAGATTGTTCCTCAGCTGTATCAGACTAGAAATTATATTATATTATATTTGTGCTAAAGGTGACATTTTATAGTCTGCAACTGCTATAAGTAGCCTAGTCTGCTACTATGAAAAATAGTATAGGGAAATAAACTATAAAATTATTCTAATAAATCATAAAGGAATAATCAATTTTTTTTTGCTCTGTTGTAAAACAACTCAATTTTGACATATAATGTTTTGCACTAACAGTAGTGATATCCAGTGTCAGAGCCTTGATTCAGGTAGTCAAAGATCTACAAGGTTTTTTTTTTTTTTTACATTGGTCACATTTTGTAAGAAATTACATTTCAAATACTGATCTGTGTGACAATTTATTCATGGAATACGTTCTTCTATTTTTGTTGGTTAACTACTTCTAATTCCAACACAAAAATGTGTTCATGCCATTTTTCAATTAATGCCTAATCTCGATCATTAACATTGAACATGGTTGTATGATTAACATGAATGTGTACTTTCTGATATATTGCATTCAAAGAGTCATCATAGTCTGCTTTTTTTTCTTTTTTCTAGTGAGAATTTATTAAAGAGAACTACAAGAAAAAAAAAGAATTTTATTTTATTAGTTTTGCTACTAGTAATTTCTAAAACTGTTACAGTAATAATGTGATGTCATAAATTATGCTTTGAAGGTTGAACAATTATCACTGGACAAATTTATTTGCACAAATAACTCATTTTATTGAAAATTGACACATTTTTGGCCCAAGCCCTTCAACTTAATTCTATTAATTTTCAAATTTCTATGACATCTATAATTAAATAATAATTAATTTTAGCACCTGATTGATGAAAGCCGCACAAAAACTTTATTGGAAGCCTTAGTTATAACTTAACTCATTTATTGTTAAAGATCAATAAGTTTTTTTACATTGTTTAATAAGTTAACGATTATTTGAAAGGATATATTTATATAATCAAGCACTTTCATTACCAAATAATTAATAATGCATACAAAATAATTATGATTGAACATGATTTATTTTAAATAGGATCAATAAAACAAAAAATAATACCAATAAATTGATCATTTAAAATAATGGTTAAAATAAATATCAAAAGATGGCAGCACCAATCAAGGAACCTATTAAAATAATTTAAATCAGTCCCGGACATTACCGAAGTCTCAGTCCCGGACATTTCCGAAGGCCCGGCTGGGCCTGGGAGTCACTGACGATTCCGACCGAAATTTTTTATTTTGTATTAGGACAGTGGGAAGTCAAAGGAGCTTAACAGGTTGGCCTGAAGGAAAGTGCTGGCCTCTTGCGGTCAACATTTGAAACTAAAGTAGTTGTTATTATTATTGGTTTAAGCTCCTTTGAACTCCTACACTCCTAATACTAAATGAAAAATATTATGTCAGAATTTGACTTGGGAAATATTTGTCTGGATAGTGCTGCGCCCTCTAGATGACAACCAAAACTACATTTTTCAGATCTTTGATTGGTGCTGCCATCTTCTTACGACTTTTTAAACTAAACTAGGCAATTTTTAAATTATAATCTAAATTAACCACAAACATGTAGATTTGAATAGTGTATTATTCAGGGAATAAATTACAAATAACAAGGATGTAAAATAATGCAAAGTATTTTCTCAGTTATTGTAATTGACCAAGGAAAATAAAATTATTTTAAAACTTCATTTATAATTAAATTAAATTCCATTGTTTTTTTTTTAAACCAACATTTTTACCAATTATAATAAGCTGTATCTTTGCAAATAATGGTCTTTTTTCGATGATTTTCTTTTGGTTTTGTAGGGAATTTAGTAACCTTTCAAATAATAGTGAGTGCAATAAACTTTTTTAATTGGTCGTGACATTAAAACATATATGTATTATAAAAAATATATACATATCTTTTTGAATTTTCAAGGATGTGCTTTTTATATCTATTTGATTAAATTTTAGCAACTAGACTTTTTTTAAATTGTATTTTATTAGTTAAAAGATCAATTACCATAACTTATCAACAATATCCAGTGAAAAACACCTTTATTTTTTGTCATAAATTACAATTTCCATCTTCATTCATATTATAGTTAATTAGTTGGCCTGTGTGAATAATTCGCACCGTATATTGGACAGTGATTAAATGACAAAATAATAAGAAAAGAAAATCAGTTTTGGGAAACATTTTTTCATTCACTTTGTACATGTTCTTATCAAGATTTTTTTTTCTTAAGTTCATAACTATAACTTCTTCCTTTTTTCCTCCTCCAATTGTTAGTAATATTTATCTTGCCTATTTAACATTGGTCTACGAAACATTGTAACATTGAACTTATATAACTTATACTTGATGCATGTAAGTTTTTGCATTAATAAATATTAATGCAATATTTATATTTATTAATGCAATACTGTAATTGCTTTTTATTATTAACATTTTTAAAAAATTAATACTTACAATTTCTTGAATTATTTTCATGAAAATGTAAATGGGATTACAAATAATGGGATTACAAATATTCATTTAGTCACTTACTGCCATAAGGATAAATTTTCATAACAGAGATATGGATAAAAAAACTGATTCACTTTAAGTGATAAGTGTTTGAGACAGCAATATTTTTTTTTACATATCTTTTTATAAATAAAAATTATATTTTTGTCATTATTTTATTACAATAGATCCCAGGCTGTAGAAGTAATTTTTTCTTAAACCACAGGTACACTAGCGTAACAAAATATCAAACCATTTTTTTTTTTTTCTTTTCACGAGAAATGAATCTCAACTTATTGTGTAAAAAACGTCAACTTAATTAACTTGATGCTTATTAAACGAAGATATTTTTCAAAAATTTGGGTATTTATAGTCCAATAGAAGGATAATAAAAAAAAATCATGAATAATCCAAGATTTTGTTTAAAAAATAAGTTCAGTATAGTTAGCCTTTAAATGGTTTTAGTAATGAAAAACTTCACTTGCATTTGAAGTAAATTTTGTCTAGTTTGTTTGTTTATTTTTCATCCTTCCCTCCTCTCGATTTTCCATATCTCCATCTTTATTTTCCCTATCTTCTCTATTTTCTATATATGTTACATTTCCTCATAGATTTTTTTACATTATATTTTTTGTTAGATTTTACAGTACCTTAATGTTCCATTTATATCTATTATTTTCTTATCTAACTTCATATTTCTTTTCTCTGTTTTACACTTTATTCTAGATTACCATTTTCATTTCTTATGTTACCTTATATTTTATTATACTTAGTTCATTGGTCCGTGCTTTGTTACAGTTATTATTATTTATTTCTTAGTTCTCTGTTACTGTTATCATTTTAACTACTTTGTTTTACTTTAATGTTCATTCTATCTACTTCATTTTACGTTAAGTTGTTCTAATAAAAATTATTAGTAAATACTTATCACCTTTTTTAATCTAAATTCTGTATTATTCAATGTTGTCTTGTGTCCTATTGTTGTCTTGTTATTTTCCCAGCCCTAATGAAGGCCTGAACTTTGGGCCGAAACGTCGGCGAATGTAAAAATAAATAAAATTTTATTATTTATTTTTTACCATTTCAATTTGACTGATCGCCCCAACCATAAATCCACCATTTTGTCTAGTTTGCTGTGAAACAATTATTGGCAGCTCTGCTTTCATGAAAATATCGGATGCACAGGTGCACATTGCTTTTTTTTTTTAAAAAATATATATATATTTTTTTTTAACCATTCCCAAGACATCTTTTAGAAGATTGATTTGAAAACTTAAGATATCCTTTTGAAGCTAAAAGGATACTGAAGGCAACTGTCACTTGTAGGGACAAAAAAATACTATCTCCGCCAAATAGGATCCTCTGGAATAGGAAAAGATAGGTAGAAACCTTTCTAAATGACCACCCACTCCAACAGAAAGAACGTAGTGTCCTTCCAGAAGGAGCATCAATATAGAGAATAGAACTACTTAAATTAAGTATTTTTTTAGTTATCACTTCTTATTAAAAACAAAAAACGTAACACTGTTTTACTGCTTTATATTTTGAGCGTAATAGCTATATATTTTAATTTTTTTTTCTACTGGATAAAAATTGAGTCTGTTTATTAAATTGAAATATTCATTAACCAAGAGCTTATTGTAATTTGAATAAGATACTAAAAAAGAAAATATTTTAATTTATATATGCTATAAACAAATTATATTCATAATTGTTTCATAGAATTTTGAATTTATTTCTTCAGTTCTTTTCCTATTTAATGTTAATTTTGAAATACATAAGGTATAATAAAATTTAGAAAAAAAAAAGAACGAAACAACATTTAAACTTTAATTTTATAGCAAAAATAACACAACAATAATATATCAAAACATGAAACCATTATTACAAATTATCAATACCTTAATAAAATAATACTTTATTTCCATTCAGATCTCCGAAAAACTTAACTGTTTGCAGGAAGAATGTCTGACAAATAATTTTTTTTTTTTTATAATGCTAATAAAAAAAAAGTACAATTTGTACAATGAATCATATCATTTAACAGTGGGAGAAACTGTAAAATTTGTCATATTTAACAAATACTGATCTGAGCACAGATCAATTCAGAAAAAACAATTTCGAACTTGCTGGTTTGTGTACATAACTTTTTAAAAAATATTATGTAATAATACACATCGTAATTACCAAAAATATAAGATGGAACTCAAATAAAATGAGAAACATTCGCTAATCTTAAAAGTAAATATAACAATAAAATACAAATTCTTGTAAGTCTTTCAAAAACAAATAATAGAAAAGTGTAATAAAAAAAAAAAAAAGACAGTTTTAGTTTGGATATTATTACACAAAACTAAACACCAATAATCTGCAGATATATAAGAAAATATAATCTAAAATTAAAAAAAAAAAAATCACTTTTCCACCATTTTTATAATTAGTGAATAGTACAGTATACATATTTAACATTAATTCTTTAAACAATTCAAAGTCACAGTCTTATACAGTAATAAACATAAATATTACATAGTAAACATGCAAATTATTTATACACATTAGATACATAATAATCAAATAAACAAAAACATTACAAACTATTTTATTGCAGAACCTTAAGACCAGCTTTATACAAATAATTACAGAAAAGCCGACTGAAAATCTTCACAAATATACAGTACATCGAGGAAGACAGTTCAAATGTCTGATTCACGTTTTTTTTTCTCTTTTCTTTTTTTAATAATAATCTCAAACTATATATTTCCTTATAAATTCATTTAAATTTACTAAGAACTTTCCAAAATATAATAAAATGTAAGCTTTTTAAACTAAAAGAAAGAGGATAACCCCCTTTTATTCGAACGATTTTCTAAACATGCTTTTAAGCTATTCATCCATAAGGAACGTGATAGTGAAATCATTAACTACACTTTGGCTCGCTTTTCAATATTATAAAAAAATATATATATAAAAAGTATAAGTACCGAGAGAAAGATTGATTAAATATAAAATGGACTAAAATTTTGCAGACACAAAAATGTACTCACTTTTATAATTTTTTTTTATTTTCAATACTATTAATTTTGTCGACACAAGTTTCATTTTAATAAAGGAACAACCATTTTTTCGTTCTGATAATAAATAATAATCTCCTTTTAATTTGATTTTTAAATTTTTTTTTGGTACTATAAACAACTCGCAACAAAAAAATCACTAACATTAGCATTTCATTAATTTAACCAAAATTATATTTTAACAGTTGAAATATATCACCTTTAATAGAAATAAACTAATAAATATTATCATTTGTGAATCGAAGTGAAGACTTTGGGTTAAATTTGCAGTGTCGTGGGATCAAGAAGTCTTTTTTCTTTTTTTTTCATTATAAAAGTGGTATAGCAAAAAATAATAAATAAACCAATTGGTTACTAAATTTTTAACTTCACTAAATTGATGAAGATACAAACTAATTAATAGTAGAAATTTGCTAATAACAATTACCTCGTTTCCCTTCCTCCCATGATCTTTCATAAGTTAAAAGTGGTCAACCGCTTTATAAATTAAGAAGCTTCCAATTAATATTGCTTAATTTCTAAGATAACTTTTTCATTTATTAAATTCAGAAATATACATTCATACAAACATAAACGTTGACATATATTATCTTAATGCCTATACAAATTTACAATATGTTACTAAAATCTGTCAAAATTTCAAAGGAGTCATTATTAACTCTGGGATTCTATCAGATAGCTACTTTGACATTATCAGGGTTAAACTTTAGAATACATCGACACAGCCAGACATTACCTCTAAAGAAGATCAGTTGACAAATTTATTAGTATTTAGAACGCCAAATTTTTATAGTAGCAGTTTTATGTATAAAAATGTCTTCAAATATGTAAAAATAAGCCATGTACATTATTAATGACATTTTTTTTTTTTGGTGTAATTTAAATGTACCAGGTCCCGGACCATATATAAAACTTGTTTAATAAATGTATATATAAAACTCTTTTATAATCAATTTTTTTTGTTTTTTTGTTGTGTGTGCTAAAATTATTTTTAACGATACAGTAACTCGACGAAATACAAAGGAACTATCATGTTCTAACCATTTTTGATTGTCTTCCAAAAATAAAAAATAATATAATAATAATAATAATAAAAAAATAAAATAATAATCATGTAAACTACTTTCAAATTAACTAAATTGTAACTACATCTTTCGATTACCATCATGAATCGACAACGGCTCAAAATATTTTTATTTGTTTTGCTTTTTCAATTAAATTTATAGAGCCATTTGCAATGCATGACAAAACATAAGTATTAAAATTAAAAAAATAAAATAAGAGAAAAAGTCTTTGATGTTATATATAAATTTCAAATTAAGATTTATATAAAAAATTGTAAGCATATATCACAAAAACATTGTCAGAGGGAAACTAACCTCTAAGGATGGAAAACTTTAAAAATTAAATTATAACTCCGCACCTTTTCAATGTAGATGCTAATATATCTAAGAAAACATCAATAAATTAATAAACTTGTTTACAATAATTGATATTTAAATACAAAATATTCATATTATAAGAAATTAACTTTGGATTAAAAAATATATAAACAGTTACAAGTTTTATCGACCATTAACTATACTGATACCATTATGTAAGAAACAAAGTTGTTTTTTAAAATATGGACAAAAAAAAAGTTAAAAGAAAAACTTATGGTTTGCTTCCCTCTTCTACATACATCTGTATATCAAGATATAATTTACAAAGCTTATGTGAAATACATTCATCACAAACTAATAAAATAATAACAAAAATAATAATAAATATTTGCATATTGCCTTTAAAAAAAAATCGTATTATATACACACACACACATATATATATATATATTATATCGCCAAGGATAATTCTTATAAATATATATATAAGGTCAAGTTACACTAATATATTTCTGATAGAAATTTATATAAACAAACCGAATATCAGAATGTCGAGGGTCGATAGTAACAAGTTTTATATATATATATACATACATAAGAAAAAAAAAAAAGTCTTTTAATCTGCACTTTCCGAAGATTCATCTTCAGGAAGTTCAGCTCCAGGAAAAACATATCTTCTCTTATGTATGCAGTAATATGAGTTCGCTGAAACAAGATTAAAAAAAAAAAATTAATATCAATATCATATATATTTTACATAAAACTCCACTTAGCATCTGCAAACGAAACTTAAAATAAAATTTAAAAAAAGTTCAAAACCAATGATATAAAGATGCACTACTAGTTAGCCAATTTTAAGGAAAAAGTTGCTGCAACTTCCCAAGTATATACATACACATCTTAAGGCCGACATAAAGGCTGAAGGCTAAAATTAGGCATACGGAATGGTTAGGCCAAGTGGTTAGAATGGACTACAAGCAGGATACCTTATAGGGCATTGTTCTCTACAATGTATGGCACAAAAAGAAATGGAAGACCAAGGAAAAGATGGCTACAAGATGTTGTACGCGACCTTAAAACACTGGGTATGAGAAACCGGAAGAAAAGAGCGAGCAATAGAGCTGATTGGCATGCTATAATTCAGGAAGCCAAGGCCCACCCTGGGCTTTAGAGCTGCATAGTAAGTAAGTTCAATTGGTCAATTGGTACACTTAACTATTTCATCGTTCTCGTCAGCATCTCCCACAACCTATCCGCAAGCTCCTCGTTTCCTCATTGATTTTCCCCTACTTTGACTATGGCTGTGTGGTATATGGTGGCCTCTCGTTGGAGCTTGAGGACAGACTGAAGAGAATCATGAACTGTTCTTTAAGATTTGTCTTCGGCACTTCGAGATGGTCTCATGTGTCCCACCTATATTCCGAGTCAAAGTGGCTCTTCCCCTCTTCCCGCCGCCTATACTTCCTTGGAAATTTCTTATATCAAATGATCAACTCCCAGCACCCTTCCTATATCTACTGTCTCCTTAAGCCGAAACCTTTAGTCCACTCAATAAAAACGAGATCCCGTGATTCTGACCTCTATATTCCATCACACAAGACAAAAACCTATGAACGTTCCTTCTTAGCCCGCTCCGTCACCTATTGGAATTCTTTGCCATATAACATCCGTCATGCCTCTTCACTGTCAACCTTTAAATACCTCCTTTTCCAATATCTCCTCACATCCTAAACAGACGATTCGCAACCATAAATTTCATTTTATGAACTGAATTTGTGAGAAGTAAATGGTGGTGCCTACAGTTTAAGTTTTAACATAAAACAGCAATGATTTTTTACTATTATTTTTACTATTTATTCGTATTTCTTTTCACCTCAGGTTGTGCTTTTTCTTTCATGTATATATAAGTTTATATTTTATACTTTTTGTCTCACTGTGTAGCAATATGAGTAAGTACGTATGTATAGTTCCTTTTTTACCTTTATACCACAATTATTCCTGAGATTTTATTTTATCTTAGTGTTTGCTTATTATTTTATGAATCACTGTAAATATTATTACATTTTGTATTAAATTATGTTTCTATTAGATAGCTATTATTTATAAATTGTGCAGTTATGTATATATAGATATGTAATTTCTTTTCTGTCTTTTTTTTTTTTTTTTTTTTTTATCGTAATAATAAGTAAATTTGGAGAAGATTGTATGTTCATTTATGTATGTAAGTATGTGTATTTATGTATATATATGTTTATGTGTGTGTATGTATATATATGTGCGTGTGTTTATATATGTGTATATATTTTTTTTTTGTTTATTTCTTAGTGGTTACATACTACTTTTTAAATAATGTATATTACGTTAGAATTTTTTTAAGTTAGTTTTTGGCCAGATTGGTATTTTATTTTGTATTAATTCATCTTTGTTATTCTAAGGGGACTTAGTCCCAGAATAAAGTTCTATTTTCTATTCTATTCTATTCTAAGTATATATATATATATATATATATATATATATATATATATTAAATTTTATCGTTTGTTTTCACTGCGCAACCTCTCAAATTATTTTGTTTAGGGTCAGTGTAAAATATACAATGGATGTGGAAAAATTCTTAAATAGAATCCAATGTGTAAAGAAAAATATTAGATTTTATAAACAAATATAATTCGGTGACCAGTAAGCCTTAGTATGTAATTTCAGTTTTGTACAATTTTTTGTTCTTGAGCTAGACTGTTCACATACGGATACACAGACCATTTTAGGAGACCAGATCTTATAATGTGTATTTGTTAAAAATTCGGAGTCGAAAATTTATAGGATCACAATACTTCCACTTCATGTATGCTTCATAGTGAGTGAAAGTGAAAAACTGTACTATCACAACCATTTATCACCTCATAGATCCAGTACGAAAATAATTGTTTAAAATGATAGCTCAAAAGGTTATGACACAAGCTTGGCAAAATCAATCATATGATTGAACAAGGCAAAATCTAGTGTTTTAGGAAATTATTTTTTATTTTTGTAACATTTTTGTATTGGGCCCACTGTTCACACTATTTCTTTTGTTCTTTAAAAACTGTCGCACATCAATTTTTATTTTTTCAAATTTTTAGTGAAGATGTCAAATTTTCAATACTTTTTCACATAAACTCATTAATAACGTCATTTGTTTCTTTGAAATTTAACCAGAAGCGTGCTGACATGTAAAAATCAAATAAGTACAAGTAACAAAAGGTTAAGACACTGATCTCAAAACGGAACTCCTAGTAACCTATTATATAATTGAACTAAGCTAATATAAATTGGATAAATATTCTCAGAATATGAGCCTCACAGACTACTTGCTATCCATTAAGGAGAAGTCATTTATATTGTAAAAGTATGGAAAACAGATAGGGGTTATTAAAATTATATGCTACAGAGAAAAGTCTGCAATGGGAAGTTTTACTGTACATGTTGATCTAGTTAATAAAGTTGTATTCATAATGATGTAGAGATGGTTGACCGTTGATATAATATGAGAAGGAGTTAATTGGGGGGGTGCGGTCAAATAAATACTAAATTAAAATATAGTAATTATTTAATTTTTGCTGACGTTTCGACTCACTTTGCAGGTGACGATGTCTTCAGGGCGTAGGATGTAGCACTGCGGGAGGCAGTTGAAACAGTGAGTGTTTCAACTGCCTCCCGCAGTGCTACATCCTGCAAAGTAGGGCGAAACGTCGGCAAAAATTAAATAATTACTATATTTTAATTTAGTATTTATTTGACTGCACCCCCCAATTAACTCCTTCTCATAATAAAGTTGTATGTATTCAATTTTAATATTTCATATTCATACCAGACTGAACGACAAGAAACTGCTCGACATTTCCGATTACTTCAGCACTTACTAGACGAACGCTTTAAACTTCCAATTAATTACAAAAGACTCATATACATGACTATAATAAGGCCTATTTGGACTTACGGAGTTGAGCTATGGGACTCCACTAAACAACCGAATTCCTCTCGTATCCAATCCTTTCGTAAAATCCTCAATGCTCCCTACTTTGTTAAAAATAAAACCATCCATAATGACCATAATGTTTCGGACCTGGCCCAATCCAGATACCTATCCTTCCATAATAAACTTCAGAATCATCCCAACCCTCTCGTTTCTAACCTTGCTTCCTCTTCAATTCCTGATAAACCTCCGAAGCGTCTGAAAAGAAGATGGCCCCGTCATCTCCTAATGTAGACATATCATTAGAGTGCTACTATTGGGTAGTTTCTCAACAAGTGTTTCCACGTCATTATATCCATATGTTCAAATTTACTAAATGTATTTCTTTAATACAGATGTAAATATCATTAAGAAATAAAAAAATAAAATAAAAATAAACAAATATTTCATTTGCGATTTTCCCTTATGTTCTCTGTAATTCATAATTTTCAGTAATTATTATCAAGCACATTCAATCGTTAACTTACCTTTATCTGTAGATGAAGCGAATGGAATTGGGATGTTCACATTGTTAGTAGGGGAAAGTGTTCTATCGCTGCTGTTATTGCTACTTTCTCCGATACCGCTATCCCTAGAAGAGTCCAGTGATATATGACGGGTATTTTCATCACCAACGATGTGCCTCTTCCCTATCTTCTGACATTTTACTTTTGACACTTCGGATTCCTTTGATATCACATCGGTTTCATCTTCACTGGAGCTAATATAAAAAAAAAATATAAAAAATAAGAAAATAATAAATATACAGAACAATCAAATAATTATTTATAAAATTCTGAACAAATCAAATGGAGGGGGTAGGAGAAGGGGGAAGGCATTAATAACTGAAATTGAGAAAAATAAATTACCCTGAATCTGAGTCTGATGTGAAAATTTGTACGTCGAGTTCTGTGCAAACTGTCAGAGGTTTCTCTCTCCAACATACTTGGCTCCAATCACCTCCAAGCCTAATTACATATTTATAAGTTAATATTATATATTAATATAATATTTAATATATTACAATAATATTATATATTATATTATAATATTGAATATTATAAAGACATGAAAATACAAAAAAAAAAAAAAAAAAAAAATTATATAACTAGGGTAAACGCACCAGTGATGTACTAGTAATAATAATAATACTTCATTTATTCTGGGACGAGTCCCTTTAGAATAATACAGGAAGACAGAAATGAGGGCTAAGGAGCCTCAGAGATACATAAATAAAAATACAGAGTAATTGAACAGTCTTGGTTAAAAAAAATAATATATATATATACACATATACATAAAAGTTGTTTTCCAATTTCGATCAGTTGATGATAAAAGAAATAAAAAAAATAGATAAACAAAAATTGGAGCACAAATAATGAAGAACGAACTAATAATTTATGTACATATTTTCAGTAGTATCTATTTACGATTTTATGGTGACTGGATGGATAAGAAATGATTGAACAGGCGGGATTTAAAGGTAGGAAGGGTATTAGATTGACGGATATGGGAAGGGATGGAGTTCCATAGAGATGAGAATCGGATAAGTAGGACTTTAAATGTAAATAATAAGCTTCTTTGTTGATTTAAAGGTTCCATTTTTTTCTAAATTGAAGAATAGTGCCTTTTATTGACAACTGTATGAACAAGATTCTCAAAAGAAAACTTTAAAATGTCTATCGTTGTTGTTTCTACAGTGCTCTTGAGATCAGTGTGTTTCATAACGTCCTACTAACAGTTTTGCTAAGAGTAAGTTGAACATTTATGTTTTCTTATCTGTACCGTTATCAATATAGTTAAATAGAGATTTTAGGATTTTTCTGAGGTATGTCTATTTCTGGTAACGATCTCCTGTCTATTACTGGAACAATTTATTTTTGGGGTGTCCATCACTAGTGCAAAAAACTGTCTTTTTATAAATGGAGATTATATCTGCATAACAGAATATTTTTTCAAATTTAAAGTGCTAAATATAAAAAGGAGATCCTAGAGACTCTAAATGTTCTAAAATAATAATGTCCAATGCAGAATTTATAACTATAATAATTATGGCGGCATAAGCTAAAAATAACAAATATTTTCTTAGCTTATGCTGTTCATATGTTATATGTTCATCACTGAAGCTTTAACCTTATTTAAACATACATTCTAAACATATTTTATAAAAATTAGAAAATAATCAGTAACTCACTCTCGACACAGATGATCGATGATAACATCAGAATCTCCAAGAAGTTCTACGTCAAAGTTCATGTAAGGAAGCCTTTCCCTATTGATCAGAACTTGCGGAACATCACTCGGCAACGAACCTGAACAAATTAAAATTAAAAAATTGACCTCTGATAATAATTTTATATTTTTCATTTATAAAGAACTGCTAAAGAAAAACATAAGACTGATAAAATCAAAATAGACTTTTAACTAGACTTTTAAAAATTCAATTGAATAGTCAAAAACAAAAAAAAAGTAATATACATTAATATTTCATTACCGAAAAGAGTTTATAGTATCGAGATCCTTTATAGAAAATTTCAGTAAAATTATTTCCATGGAGTGTTATGTTTATTTATTAAAGTATTCAAGAACTAAATAGTAATTAAAAATAAAAGATACTTGTAGACAAATATCTCGACGATTTGAAATATTAATAAGATTTTACTTAGTTCAAATAATAAATAATATTAAATAAGTATAAGTAAAAGCTGCTTACTTGGAATAAGTGCTACTGGTCGTACTTTTAACGACGATCCAATTACAATCAGAAGATCACACTGGTCTTTGTCTATGGCCATTGTATCATGGAAAGTGTCAGACAGCCCTTCCCCAAAGAAAACTATATCTGGTTTCATAATGCCTCTCATATTTTCTGAAAATAATATTGGTACAATTGTGATGAAAAATAAAACAAAAAAAAAAATTAGTTAGTAATGTTTTTTTTATTACCTCGAAGAGGTTTAAATAAAATGAAGTAATTAGTATTAGTTTTAATAATAAGTATTAATTTCATTTCGGATTGTAATATTTTATTCGTTTCCTTTAACTGTTATTTAAGTCAATTCATCATCAGTATTAGTGATAGACAGTTTTATTCTCTTCTTTTTCTTCTGTGTTTTTTCAGGTTTTATGTATATATTACATAGGTTTTTTTTTTTTTAAAGATTTAATAAGGAATTCGAATAAAATCCTATTCGAGAGATTAGGGAAAATCAATATAAACCAAGTAAGAAGGTTCGATAGGTTAAAAGGTTAAATAACACATGATTTTTAAACACATAGCTCGTAGCTCGCTCTGCGTCCAAATCTTTTTTTTTTTTTTTTTTTTTAATTAAATATATTTATTTATTGGTTTCCGCTATTTTCCAAAAATCAAGAAATTGAATAGTGTGGCACCTGTTAGATAATTAGTAATATTTAATTGACGCTTCATCATTATTATTATTTTTTTTTTGTGAATTCTACCGTCTCCACTGGGTGTCCTGCAAGTTTGTTGCACAAACAATTTTTGTAAATTAAAGACCGTAACACAATGTTTAGAGTAGTTACTATACATTAGAATAATAGTGTTAAATTACTCAGTCACTTACCACAAAATAACAAAGAAAATAGTTAATGACCCGTTAATATAATAATAATGTATTATATGCATTAAAGGTATTAACTTACCACCTGTTTCCGATGTGGGACATTTAGTACAGTAAGGGATGTTCTGCTCAAATATAGTATCTTTTATTTCATGTGAAAAGACTTTGTGACCACACATAGTACAAGTAGCAGTGGCGAAGGAACCTGAGCAAAATTTTATGTTCATTATTAAAACATTAGGCATAAAGAAAAAATAAATAAATAAATATATATATATATATATATATATATATATATATATATATATATATATATATATATATAATAAAATAAAACTTACCATGACATTCAATCAAATTTTCGATACCAGCTACCCTTTCCAAAGTGTCAATGTTTTGAGTATAGTTTCTTAACAACTTTTTATGCCTTTCAATCATTTTGATAAACCTGTATAATTATTAATTTACATATTAGTTTATTAATACAATAATACTAAAAAATAAAAAATAAAGTCTCTTTATTCCCATAGCTGTAATATAATACGCAAGGATCAAAACAAAGTTCAACTTTTGTAACAGTATTTATGGCAGACTAGGTATAAATGAATAAGATTGGAATACATAAAAACATATTTGAAAGTTAATCTATATCAAAAATGCAATTCCAGAAATTTTCCAGCATTTTAACTGAAGATTTATAATAAAAATGTCTAAAATGAAAAACAACTCTTAGAAATGGTGCAATCAAAATTATGGAAGCACAAGTATCAATGAAATTATTTTAGTGTTTATAATAAGTAAATAAAATAAATGTTTATAATAGATAGTTGTAAATTTTAATAACTACTGTTTTAACTAGTATTTCAGCAATAGAAATAACTTAGATAGTTTAAATAAAATATATAATTATAATTTAAATTCAAATAAATAATTTAAAAACATGATCTCCTTACCTATGCGATGGGGATGGTTGAAATAATCCTGGATAAATTTCTTTGGCAAATTTGAAAAATGGCCTCGGGTCTTGCCTGAAGAATGTGATGTCGAACATAGCTTGTGGATCTGGCAAATTTGGAAAGTCCACCGCCAATCTTGCATAAACTCCATCTTTACTTCTAAAATCTGGTATTCCACAAGAAACTGATACCTTAAAAAAATATATAAAAATTAAAAAAAAACAAGCTAAATTGAGTGATCTAAAATATTCATTATTATTCAAGTCGAGAACATGTTCATTCAAATAAATAAATAAAATATCAAATACATACCCCAGCTCCTGTTAAGACTATGATTTTGTTGGATTGTTTAATAAGTTGAACGACATGATCTAAACTATGCACTTTTGGAAGGGGATTTCTTCTCGGTGGTTCCGAAAGATAAGAAAATATTAGCTACAAAAGAAAAAAAAAAAAGTTAAAAGGCTGAAAAATAAGAATTATTTATTAAAAATAATGTACTAACATTCATATAATAACAATGTAAAACTACTTAATAAACTAAAATATTAATTGTTGATAAAATAGTTAAAACATTTGAATAATGACATTTAAACAACTGGATTTTATATAGTGAAATTTGAGTTATTGTTGAAAACTTCATTATTCTCTTATTCCTACCAAAGTTAAGTTATACATCAAGAAATAAAACAAAAGTTATTATTTCCTTATTTGAGTTAACTATAGATGTCAAAATTTAAATTGTTATGATCAATATTTTTTTTAATAGTTATTTTTTTCCTAATTGGACTAATTAATAACACATTTTGAGATAAAAAATAAGAATATACCTTCCATAATGCTAAGTCGCTAATTGTTTCTGGTAGTTCCGCGTTGTCTCCTGTAATTTGGCTAAGAACTAATCGTGGACTCACTCCTTTGAGCATTTGTTTCTCCAGCCAGCTCATCGAACCTAGAATAATGAATAGTTAACACACGGATAATGTTATATTTTAATTTGTACGAACATTCATAAGATACATACTGGCCATGGGTTTGTAATGGTGACTGTCTGACAGGATACTGAGATCAGACGCATTACTGACAGTTGATGAAGCATCATCATCATCATCTGTAGCGTAGTTATCTGATAAAGTGAGGAGGCCATTTTTTCTAGAACAGAAAGAAAATAATGAAAATATGAAAGAAGAAAAAAATGATTGTAAAATTTATATCTATTAAATTTAGAAACATATGTATGTGCAGTTTTTAATAAATTAAATGGCATACACAATCGAAGAAAATTCACTTAATATGCGTTTTATTTAAATAACGGGAGAAGGGTAGCTCAGTAGGAAAAGCATTTACTTCCTATGCTCAAGGTCATGGATTCGAATCTGGCTGAAGGCAGATAAGTATTGATGGGTCGGAAGACCCTCCTGGAGCACATCCAGACTTTATAAAGGGGTTCTCTTAATAAAATAATTAATTAAGGGGAAAACCCTGGTGATTGAGCATGATCCTGGTCCGATCACCTCCCTGCACATCCATTGGCTTTGTAACAGTACTGAACCCAAGACTCTTCATCGGTTGTTGTAGTACGTTTTTTTTTTCTTTCTTTAAATACTAACATTTAATAATAAAACAATTTTGCCTGCTAACATTTTACTTTTGACATTAATTAAAATAATGTTAAGTTACATTGGGATATCTCTATAGATATGAGTCTAGCTGTATTTAAAAAATTTATTTTCTGTTCCATTAATCATGGACTTTCAAGGCCCTCAAGGGGGCATACTTCGCCTTTGTAAAGTAAATGCCTTGTCTTTTAATGGGTTGTGGGAAAAATTGGAAGTTTGAATGCTCAACATATTACCTCTGCTTACTACCATCAGTCAAAGTGGTAAATTAATTTAGAATTAAGTGGATATTTTATTTTGGAAAAATTTCAATGATTAAAATATTTCAGCAATGTATAATAGTAGAGTAAGAATATGCATACATATATTTGTCCTAAATATATTAAAATTTCTTGGCAACATTCTCCAGAAGGAATAGATAAATTTTAATATAATATAATATTGTTTTTTTCTCTATATATGAGCCTTACAGTTAACAGAATGGCTAACTAAAATTTTAGCATTTTTTTTCTCTCATAAAGTTAGTATTAATTATACTTCTGTTTCTTTTTTAGAAAATTCCTTACTTTTTTTTTTTCAAAAGCATGGCAGAAATATTTACCATCAATTATCAATTACTAATACTTCTGGCATGCTTTTTAAAAAGAAAGATATCTTCAATGAAATTATCTTACACACTATTAGAAAATGTTGAAATAAGAGTTAATCATTGTGTTAACTGAAAGGCTGATCTAATAATATATATTATGAGATGAATGAACTTAATCACTAGTTTTAATCTCACTTATGGTGTTTATGGAAGAGAAGTAATACAGGAGATAATTTATAGGATACTGCACATACATATGAATTTTAATAATTCAGAAAAAAAATAAAAAATTTAAAAGCAACCCTTAATAATGCCATATACATTGTTTTTATTAATAAATTATCACATAACAATAAGGAATATGGAGTTGACATCCAATATGTTTGAAAAATAAATGAGAACAATTAAATTAAGCACACGTGAAACCATTTTTTAAATATCTCAATTTCTTTTTCTTCTCGGTATAAGAGGATTAGATGTTTACCAAAAAAATTTCATACACCATGCAAAAATACTTTATATACATTTCATTGTTCAGGGAACAACTTTTATAAATAAAATGACACAAAATATACTGATTTAAATGAGAGAATTAATGAGCAGAAGTAAATGTATGTAGATGTATTCGAAAAGAATAAATAAATAAGTAGTACATAAAATGTAATAGGAAATAAAATGAATAAATAATAAGTATAAAAAAGAATTACACGAAGAAAAAACAAACTTTCCATATATCAACAAGTATCAATATAATAAAAGTTTACATTTTAAAAAGTTTTCACTTTAAATCTTAAAGGTATTTTTAAAAAACAGAATTAGACAAAGTATGAGAAAAACAAAAATAAGTTTAAAAAAGCAGAAGAAAATATTTCTATAACTATAATTATAAAAAAACAGATACAGATACACTACTATAAACTTTTTACCCCCAGAGATTCACTCAATAAAGGATATATATATATATATATATATATATATATTTGAGTGTAATGTATACATAAATTTTATTTGTTTATTAATTCATTATTTTTCTCAATAAGAAAGGAGTTCTTTGTTACAACACACAAATATATTCCCTTTAAACTTAATTAAAATAAAAAATATATATATTTTTTAATAAGAATCAAAGTCAAAGTTGACTAGCATCAAAAGAATTATTGTTCAAAATGATCAGATATATCATTTTTATCAAATGAAATATAATTTTATAAGAATAAAACTAATAATACATAAATGAATATTACATAATATAATAATTCAATAGAATTTTTAAGTCTGGAAGGAATTGAATTTCTAGAAGACATTTTGTATCACTATTCTCGGCGTTAAAGATTTTGGAAAGTGATAATTGGCCACTGATATGAGTGATCAACAACTTTTATTTGTTAACAAAAGCACATCTTAGAATCAGAATAGTTCAAGTCTTATATTCTCTAGTGCTTAGATACAAGTCCCTCAGTGGCATATTTTTATTCTATTGCATTAGCTGTGGATGGGTCCTGAGGATGGGAGATCCTCCTATAGTATATTCAGTCTCTATGAAGTATAGAGTACCCTTAATTAATTGATTGATTAGGAGGGAAAAATCTAATATTTAAAGATCATCCTAGTACAATTACCTGCTTGTACAAATGTTTGCCTAGAAACAGTATTTCCTTACAAAGTACTGAACCAACGAGAGCCTACATGAGTTGAGGTAGTATAGGTTTTTATATGATTAAGTATTTATAAAATTATTATATTTAATCTAATAGTTCTTTTACGTTCGGAAAATAATAACTGAAAAAAAGATTTTGTTATACTTTTTGATAGTCAGAGGAAATCTAGCTTCCAAGTATTTTGACCCAGAATTTCACATACAAATATAACTCATTATAAAACAATTTTGGAATGTCATCAAAATATTTAATCCAAGGGAAGAACTCATAAAAACCTCTTTGAGCACATAATACTTTAGCTAACAATTCATTAAAAAAGTAACAGTAATATAATAATTATTATTCAGAAAATAATCAATATAACAAATGACTTAAAAGATGCAACACAAAGGCTTTTGAAACTAGCTCAATAAACAGCCACTGTTAATACAAGTTTACTCACAGACATTCAATGGCACCACTAATTAAGACTATGTTACCTCAAAATTATCCCACTTTCAAATTATTAGAGCCCATGAATAAACAAGTTGGATTAAAGAGTACAAAGAGGTCGCTGTTTAATAAAATACTAATAAAAACATATGTTTTATTTCATGACAATTTCATTCAGTGGTTTTTTAACACAGAGGTAAAAAAAATTAAGATTGATTAAAATTTATGAAAATGTTTTGGATTTAGAAAAACTATGTATGTATGAATATTTATATATATTTATTTATTTATAATTGATAAATAAATATTACTGCTAAGCATTTATAGATACATAACATGAAAAATCAAAAGCAATATTTACTTTAAACTATTTCTTTGCATTTCAGTTTATTTTTTGAATTTGCAAAATATCGATAATAATTAATTTATCTAAATATACATATATATTTATAATTTATAAATAAATATTACTGCTAAGCATTTATAGCTACATAACATGAAAAATCAAAAGCAGTATTTACTTTAAACTATTTCTTTGCATTTCAGTTTATTTTTTGAATTTGCAAAATATGGAAATAATTAATTTATATATATATATATATATATATATATATATATATATATATAACTTGTTTATTCATGGGCTCTTATATATATGTATATATATATATATATATATATATATATATATACATATATATATATATATGTATACATATATAAAACTGAACTGCTTTCCACAAATTTTTAAGATCCAAGAAAACAAATTTGATTCAATTTTTAGGGATCTATGTTAATTTTGTATTATTGTTGGAAAAATTACTTATTTGTGGATAAAAGGTAGGAGTCTCAACTCAATGAATGTGGTGAGGTTAGAGTGAGAAACCTCCACACTGAGAGACAAAATGGAATAGTATAAAATTCTTTACTTTTTTTTTCAAACATCATCTCTTTAAATTAGTAAATGCATGAATCAAAGAAGATTTTACGACATTTATTAAATAAACTACATATTCAACTTCTTTAGTTTATTTGTTTATTAACATTGTCAAGTACTACAAATTGAGTAGGAAAAACAAGTTATTCTAAATTTTACCAACTAGAACTGAAAGAGAATATACAAATCAATTCACTTTGATTGCCATCATTTAAAAGCAATCTCTCATAGTTCATATCCAAACCAATTCTATTTCTGACTTTAAAATAATTATAATTTTTTTTTCATATTATGTTTTGGCCACTATGTGATGTTATTTTAATTTTGTTCTTAAGGGACTTGGTTTCAAGAAAATACAGAATTTTTTTCATTTCATTTCATTCTGCCCTAACACACTTTGTCACCGTGACCTTATATACATTATACATTATATATATATATATATATATATATATATATATATATATATATATATATATATATATATATTATTTTTAGTCCATACTTACAATTTTATAATATTAATACATTACTTAAAAGATGTGAAATGAAATATCTTTGCTTTTCTTAAAAGTGTCTTTGTTTTTCATAAAAGAAATTTTGCTTTTAGAATTTACATTAAAGAGTAGTGTCAAATTACAGGAGCAAGATTGATGAAATGAAAAAAGAAGGAAAAAATTTGTGGATTTCTGAAGAAAAATAAAATAATTTATAAGATATAAAACAAGTACTACCATTTAAACAAGTAATATTCTATATATTAGTAATATATGGATATATTTTTTCTATAATAATTTATTAATGTTTTAAATTTCTAAGTAGTCACTGTTAGATCACATAAGGGTTTTATAAACAATAATCTTATACAGATTAAATTTAATAGTATTTAAAAATCTCATATAAGATTTGAATAACCT